TTTTCCACGAGCAAATTTTGCTGGCAAAGGGCGGCAACGCAAGAACACTTTATTCACCGTGATCTATACCTAAAATGTACACTATGGCTGTCATATAATGCTTCGATTTCTTCAAACCTGTATGCACAAACTTGGTTGGTTACTTCCTATGACACAATTACTATCGTACACATGTCTCATCATAACTTATAATAACGGGCTAAGGGTTGTTTACGTTTTTTTGTGTGTGTGTGTCTGTCTGTCCGTTACGAAATTCGTAGGGAGAGTTCCAGCCAACCTCTTGAGCCCAAATTCTGCATAACACATCCCGGCAGCAGGAAAGTCCATTGTGCAAAAGCACAGGCGGATCCGATAAGTAGATCCCCTAGAAATTGCGCGCGAAACGGGTCCACTTAACTTCTGGCCAGCAAAATTGGGTCCGTATATGAACTTTCTGCAAGTCGTGGATATGTTCGACAAGCTAATGTACAAGCCGTAAACTTCAGCCCAAAAAATTCAACCAAGGTTGGTTACTTAACGAAAATGGCGCCAAGAAGTATCAGTGCGTAAATTTTTAATTTACCACGATTTTATATGATCATTTGAGAAGATTTTTGCACAGAGATGCAGCCCACGATGATTATCGCCGTTATGGCGACTACCAAGCCATGAGAAGTCCACAAACCTATTTAAATTTGCATTTATTCTTCTGAGAAAAGTTTCATCCACGTGAAATTACCGATCTCGCACAAAAAGCTCTAGGAATTAGTAGCAGTTTACAAATCATTCGTGATAGCCTGCATAACGCGGTGAGTTTCACTGTCATCATTAGGCCTCGGGCAGACTTCACGCGATTTGATCGTCGCGACTGAATCGCGAGGAAACAACTGTTACAACATCATTCCATGCAGATCAACTTGCATTCGGTTGTGATACTTTTCCAGACCGAAATTTTTGAATGTGAAATGAAAATGAATGGAAATCTTGGCGATTTGGTCGCGACGATTAAGTCGCGTGAAGTCTGACCGGGGCCTTATGCGGGAATTAGTAAGGCATACAGAATGTAAGGCCAGTGCGAGCCTCTGCGAAGCAGAGGTGACGCACTGGTATATATATATATCGCTCGTCCCCACATACATACGCTGCCAAGGTCGCTCCCCGACCTCCACCACTCGCTTCGCTACTGTTTTCTATTGTCCTTTGGACTGCGTTTTCCCCTGAACTAAAGAATTCCAACTAAGATGTATTTTCTCCAACAATCAATATAGTCTTCAGTGAATGTTGTTCGTAACGCCCATATAGTCAATTCAGTTTAACTGCCTTTGCAATTATCGTGTAGCGTAACGTATTAGATTCTGAAATTATGCTGGATACAACAGGATGTCAATTTATTCATATTGTTTTAGATAATTTACTATGACATGATTCACATCGCGTTAAACCATAGTGCTAAAGATGAGGACTGCTATGCGGAAAAAAGGAATTATTAGGTTGGCAAAAAAAAGTTCGTTTTGGCAAGCAAATCTTCATGCAAAATTTTCTTGTTGTTTTCTATTCATGATTTTTTGAGGATGTAACTCAAATCTTCCTCTATCACATGTCAAATGTGACAATATGTCTGCAGCGTTTGTAAGAGTCGCAAAAGTGACCGAACATATTTGTTAGCCAACCTAATAATATTATTCGACCTGGAAGCTAAACTTAGATAATGCTTTTGTCTCAAGTTTTTGTTTACGATCTCTGTATTCAGTAAGTTGAACATGAGTATTGATCGAGATCGGAGATAATGTACAATGGTTTGGTATAATTTGATCAGTAGCTTTGTGTAATTGCAACACTTTTGGGATCTGCAATGCAGGAAGCCGGTGCCAAAAGATCAAACAAAGAAAGAGGCTCCAGTTTGACGACACGGTAAGGTCAGCGCAAAATCAAAAAGCTGCAGTTGCACACCGCCTCCTTTTCTGCTACATTAACTGAAGTCAGTTTGGCGAAAATGACGATCATTGAAGTCATACCAACTCATTATTACAAAAGAAACAGTCATTGAAAATATTAGGTTGGAAAGTTTCGTCCGCTTTTTCATCGATCACCGAAACTTACTGAACACCAATCCAAGGATGACCTGGGTATCATTTGATTCAGATTACTATTTTTTTTCTTATAGCTGTATTTGCTCTCTGATCTACGCTGTCTTTGCGATGTTATCGCCACGGTTATTTTTGCGACACAACAGCGAGCTAAATCTCCCCTAAATTTAAAATTTTTTTTTGAAATTTAGGGGAGTTTGTTCCGATTCCGATTGTTTTCAAGGAGCGCTGGTAGATGTCAAGTAAGCAGCTAACCCTCGGCTACATTGTAGCTATTTTAGATTACATGAATCACATTCATCAGGCCCATAATAATTACTTATTTGGGGGAATAACGCGGCTTTGATCACCTCTACCCCATAAGAATATCGAAAGTTCCAAAAAGCTGATTCTTCGAAGCAAATAAAACTTGATTATGTTGCACAAATGATGTTTGATGACAGTCATGCTTCAACTCAAAAGAACTTTGGAAGCTTTCATGTTTTTGCTGCCACTGCTGTTTCATGACTTTGTCAAAAAGCGACACCTCCGAAGAATAAATCTTTTGAAGACAAAAACAGCACATTAGGAAAATCTAAAAATATTATCGTATAGCCTGAGATTTGCTCTATTTGTGCCATACTTATAACTTTCCGAATCTTTGGAAGAAAATTTCAAAAATTTGCCGAACTTTAAGCAAATAGAAATGACGATTGAAGAACTTTGGCAATTACCAAAAAAGCGTATATGGCTGTGGTTCGAAAACTGACTTTAGAAAGAGGAGTAAAAGCTGCATCGAATGCATGTTGAATCTCAGCTAGAACTTTATTGTGCGTGGTTTTATAGTCGCTTGAAAAAAACAGAGAAAACTTCCGAGGCAACCTAATATTAGGTTTGTACCGAAAGTTCTGTCGTTTCATTTTTGAAAATTTGTAACTTTGCGCTGTTTCAACGGATTTGCTTGCCTGTAATTTTATTAGAAAGAATAAGTCTTTCCCTTTCAAACGCCGTTTTGCTGAGCTTCTGTTTCACATTGGGTGCGGAGATAAAAATGGAAAACTGAGAGCATGTAAACTTTGACCTTTTTAAGTTAGGTCACCAAAAATCTGTAATGCTGCAGAAAAATCTGAAATCGTCAGTACATATGTTTTTTGGCCTGCCCTTTGCAACTGTGAAGAGTTTGTGCTGTTTGGACGTCTCTGTGAGAAGTTATGATTTGCGCGAAAATTGACAAATTAATTAATTTTGGCGTTTTCCATAGTAAACTCGTTATTCATAACTTCTCACAGAGACGTCCAAACAGCACAATTTTTTCACAGATGCAAAGGGTAGGTCAAAAAACATATGTACTGACGATTTCAGATTTTTCTGCAGCATTACAGGTTTTTGGTGACCTAACTTAAAATGCTCAAAGTTTACATGTTCTTAGTTTTCCATTTTTATCTCCGCACCCAATGTGAAACAGAATCTCTGCAAAACAGCATTTGAAAGAAAAAGACTTATTCTTTCTAATAAAATTAAAGCAAGCGAATCTGTTGAAACAGCGCAAAGTTACAAATTTTCAAAAATGAAACGACAGAACTTTCGGTACAACCTAATATTAGGTTATCCCGTGATTTGTCCTTTTTCGATCGATCAACAAACTTTGAAAAAAAGAGACCGCAAGGCGACTTAGACATCATTCAGCTCAAACTTCTTCCTTATTCAGATGCAGTCGAGTCATTTTATTGATCATATGCGTCACTACACCCAATGCGCTCTTTGCCGTCCTAATTTTGGTTTTCTAGCACATACTCAAGAACCGACCAACTGCTACCGCTTACATAACGTTGAGAAGATTCGTAGCTAAAGGAGGAATACATAAATAAAACGTTATAAACATTTGCTAGGAAAAGTGACTGTTTTGAGAAACGGGAATGAAGACGGCAGAAACGCACATTGTGTGTATTGATACATATGACCACATGATATGAGCAAACTGTAGCTACTTCCTCCACCTGATCAGTGCAGTCTTTGCGATGTTATCGTCATGGTTATTGAGCAATTTGTTCAAAACCCAAACTCCCATAGTTTTTGAAAAATTTCACCTAGCAGCTTCAAAGAGCAATGGTAGCTGCAATGTGGAGTGAATTTTTTACCACATTCTTAATTTGTTTACCTTCTTGCGTACACGAAGTTCTCAAAAACATTCATTTCGGAACCTCAGTTTTTGTGCACATGTGGAGCGCTGAAGTACCAAAAATTCCAGAAGATAACTTCTTGAAGCAGATTGAACTCAAGTGGCCAATATAAAATAGCCATAGTCGTTTCATAAATTTACCAAGAACTGGAATAATCGAAAAATCGTATTTTGAATACTTTGAGCAGTAGATCGAGAGGATCTGAAGGCAATAATTTATAGCCTATCTTTATCTGCCTGTTGCCTGGTACCGGAAGTTAGCACAGAAATTTTCTTAGTGGAATTTAGGGTAGACAGAAACGGTGGAGAGTTTTGGCAATCAACTGGGAGCACTCAGACTAGGATTTTTTTTTCAAAAATATAAACCTCAGAAAGAAAAGAAAGCTGCATTAAGTTTGAATGATGTTTAGATCGTCATTATACGAGGTTTCATAGTCGTTTGATGGGACAAAATTTTCGAGACAATCCAATTGATTTCTAGAAACGAAAACTTTATATAACGGAAAATGAGTTTACAGGAACAAGCCTACAAGTGGCTTTAACAGTTCTTGAGTGTATTTATAATGTCTGATTATTCCTGGACGCATGTCTGACGCGATCTTGTTTTCGATGTTGTTCACCTTGTCCTGTTCGCTACCATCGATTGCGCACTGTCACTTCAGCTTTCGTTATGTTGCTCGAATCTAAAGACAATAGTGACTGATGTCATTTCGTTGATGGTTCACATATTTCTCCGATTTGAATTTGCCTGAATCAGAAAATTGCAGGTGTAAATAATGCGTCCTATAAATTCGTTGTTGGGTTTGCGTATAGTGCTGATAGCCTTAGGCCTTGTATTTATTCGAAAATGCTATGAAGAGTATGTGCGGGAACTTCATACAAACATGGACAGGTCAGTGATCGGAGTTATACTTATGAGGGTTCTTTCTGTTTTTCGCAAATTATCTCTCCTCATCTTGATGTCTCTCGCCGATCTTAACTTACCATTCTGAGCTGTCTTAACTCAGATTCACAATGTAGAAAGAAGCATCGAACGGTTTCCCCTTCAATAGGCCTGCGCTAAAAACTCTGAAGAGAATTTCGATCCTTTTAAAGATGCTTCAAAGATGATCACAAGATCTGGGAATTTTGACGCTAACTAATTTAGAATCACTGCTTCAAAAGTAGATTAAATTAAAGTAATTTCGTTACCTGGATTCTGATTTGTAAGTTGAAGCAAGTACACTTCAGAATGCAGTGGCGAACCCAGGATCTCCGCTCGGGGGAGGGGGAGGGGAGACAAAAATTTTTTTCCGATGAAGATGGTGGGCTAACGCCACACATTCCGAAAAAATTTTTGGTATGTTTCCCAAAGTTTTTGCGGGCACCTAAGCCACGCCCCCGAAAAAATTTTTTATAGGACTAAATTGAATTTTTAAAAAAGTTTAAAGAATTTTTTGATCATTTACAAGTACAATCAAGTCACTTGCACATTTTTATTACTCATAAGTAACTTTCAAAAATTTCGCGACCCATTCTTGCCCCCCCCCCCCTCGGTGTCAGAATGGTATTGATAAAGTTCCTCGGAAACTTCATCGCACCGCCTAAACTGCTTTACAAAAACTACAATCATCAGCTGGGCTCTCAAAAACCCCATAATAGTTATTCCACATACTTTGGATTTCTTTGGCATTGCAATCGATTAGCAGGAGTGTGGATATTCCTACTTCCTACAATAACGAAAATTGATCGGTGCTTCGTTCCATACAATAGATCTAAGTTGAAGCCAGCTCAACAAAACAGTACCTAGAGATCATCGAATAACTCAAAGCGAGAGAGAAATTTCTGAACCAACAATAGGGATGGTTTTTTGGACCTGTGTGTGTGTAGCAAGAAGTGCTTGTCCTTCGTACACTACAACTCTATAACTTTTTGAGTTCAGCTTATCCTCCTCATCAGCACTACAGTGGGAAAATGTCGATTTGGAAAATCCACCGCTGACGGGAAATCCTTTAGTGGAGCGATTGCGAATCAATGAACTTCTAGCAGCTGTCCAGTACAGGTACACTTCAGTCTTTTGAGTTATGGAGTTCCCACAGCCTCGTGATTATCAAAAGAGTAAACTCGAATTTGAATAGGCTGGAAGTCTCTAAAAGAATCTAGATTTTCAGAAGAGACACGAAGTGGTTCCGATGTGACCTCAAAAGAACATGGTCATCATTCGCTGCGAAGTAAAATAATAATAAGAAGCAAAAAATAGGCTCCAAGCCTGATTAGTTTTGCTCGCATCAGACTGCTGTTACCACGATTTTGATTTTGACTAGCCGTTCTCAGCGCATGAAGCGGGATCATATTATTTTTGATCACAAAACGCCAGTAAATTGCTAAAAGGTTGTTGCGATCATCAGTATCAAGTGCATCATTTAGATAGAATCGGGAAGAGTGAGATTTCATTGTTAAGGCATGCAACCAAACTATATAATTCGCTCAAACAGGTAACTCCGGAGAGAAAAAAAATCGGTTCAGAAAGAGAGATCGGTACGTTACATCCTACTGGGGGAAGCATCCTGCTTATCTGCCATCATGAGCAGAGTTGAGCAAGAGGTCAGGCCCAAGTCTTCCCAAGACGACTCCCCCCTTCCTCCCATGGAAGCCCTCAAACGACCCCTCCTTCCTCCTCTTGACCTCCAGAACCTCAAAATGTTATATTCTGGAGGACATCATCCCTCTGGAAAGCTTTTAGATTTTTGACTGTACGTCCTATTTTCTGTGATTGCACTTTGAAATCACGCGTAATTCAAGCCTGATTTCGATCTGAATGGACCTATTGAAAAGGTCATAATTTTTCTCGGGGTGGGGCGCTCGGCTCCGAATTTTCACTGTAGCGAGAAAAAGCTATGAGCTCAATTCTCATACTAGAAATGGAGCGATTTCTGGATTTTAAAGGCAAGTTAAGGGGGTCAGGCGCAACCCCCTCAAAAGCTCAGGCCGCTTGACCTTTCGAGGGGTTGCGCCTGAACCATTGATTTCATTACCGGAAAAGCTTTTCCACCTCATTTTTAGATGATTGGCTAGCATAAACCATCAAGATACAGAATGGAGCAATTTCTGTATCTTGAAGGCAATCCCTCAGAAGCTCAGGCAGCCTGACCTTTTGAGGGATTGCGCCTGACCCGATTAACTTTATCACCAAAGGAGGTTTTCCGCTTATTTATACAGTTCGCTAGCAAAAACCTCGAAGATTCTGTAGTAGGTGTTTGAGTTCACCTTGCTTGTTTTGGCTCTGTGATGATCGGTGAAGCACTCGAGGTAGAAAATGCGGAAGTAACATCTTGGCAACATTCCTTGAAGGCAGTGTCTCGGCAGATTCGCGCCCTGGAGGATATTGCCATGGTGGGGTTCCTGGCAGTCCGGCTGGTTGGTGTTCCCGCTGGGCTGAGAAATCAGCCCTCGAACCAGCGCGCACAATCCTAATCGGCGCACGCTGGATGACTTCGCTTACCGTGGCGCGGGACCCCACGATTGCTCTCTCGCATTTTGCATGCTATCCAAAGCAAAAATAACAGGCAGCAGGGTCTTCGTGTCAGGACCTTCTAATTTTCCATTGAAATTCTCGTCCGAGCTGCTTTTTAAAAATTGGGTAAACGCCCCGAAAAAGGCTTTTCACCCGTTTTAAAGCTCAAATTCGGGGTCTACGGGTCGAAAAGGCCCAAAACATGCAAAAAGATGGAAATGCGAAATCTGCCGGGACACTGCCTCTAACATTGTTTGAAAGAGATATGAAGTTCAATTTCTGCCATAGACTAATAAAGAGTAACACTGCGTATGACGTTCGTGACCAAGTTAATCATGTTTGAAAATCATGCTTTTAAGATGCTAGGAAACACTAGAAAATGTAATAGGTAATGGCTCGTTGAGGGTAATTTGGCATGCTGATTACGGAAATCATACCCAATTTACATGAAAAGTTTCTTTATTGACCTTCGGTATGTGTAAGGTAAGATCAACAAATGAAATTTGGCTGAGACTTCGTTAGTCGAGTAAATCAGCAGCCGTTCACGACAGTCATTCCTCTTGTGGAGTTTTGAGATTCATGGTTGAGCGGTTTTCACCTTACTTGATCGTACTTCTCAATTTTTGAACAAATCCGCTTGTTGATTACGACCTTCCCCTCCCTTAAAGGCAGTGTCCGGACAATAACTCGATTTCAAGAAATTCTACTCAGAGTGCCTTCATACCGCGCCGGCAGTCGCCGCTAGCCGCCCACAGCCGCTTTAGCGCACTATCCCAGTATTCCAGGGCCTTTCCAAAACGTAGAAAGATTAAGTTATTTGTAATCAGCATGCTGAACAACCTCATCAAACCGAGTTTGAGCAAGATTTACGACTTCAATTTTGGGATGCGGATACTGGAATAGTGTACAAAAGCGGCTAGCGACGGCTGACGGCGCGGTATGAAGGCACCCTTACCGGGGGTTATCCGCAACGCTGAATCCGAAAATCCACATTGGAAGGCGCGAAAACGGCGAGAACATACGTTTTCCAAAGCCGCATAATTTGAAATCTGACGGTCCCCACCAGGGCAGAGACGCAGAGTCGCTTTGGTTAACCAATATTGGGTGCCACTACGTTGAAGGAATTGTTTATTCGGGAAACAATTCCAGTGGAATATAGATTTGGCGAGACGAGTCCAGAAGTGAGCATCCAGGTCTATTTAGGCCACTATTTTGGGCGTGGCAACCTAGATGCTTCCTTCTGGCAAACAATAGTATCGTACAGGTATCACTCGAGAATTATTGGTGCTTACATGAAAGTAGTAGCCGCCAAGTGTGCTATCAAGCAGCAATGGGGGGTGACCTTGGCGGCTTAAGTGTTCTACGCTAGGAAGGTTTGTCAATGACAAGAATAATATACAATATAAATTAATGGTCGATAATTATTCTATTATTATCGACATAGATAACTATTTGTGTCCGTGTCCGGTACTGATGTTGGCGTCGAGGACGATGCTAATGCGTGAATCAGGCTTGACTGTTTTTCCAGTTCCCTCGCCCGGTATTTCAACTTATTTAACCAGTTGATAGCTTCCTTCTGCACTCTATCTGCCTCAGTAGAAAGAAATGCATCAAGATCGATCATAAGCCTTTCTCGTTCTGATTGGTCCTTCCTTAGTCCGAGAAAATTCATAGCGTTTTGGATTTGTGCTTCCAGGTACTCCGAAAAGCCTTTTAGAGAGATTTCTGCTTCTTCAATTTCTGCTATTTTATCCACGATGAAGGCATTGCATTCCGATGCCGTTGTTGCAAAGTTGAAGGCTTGATCTATCTCCCTGATTTTGTCCTGGAGGCTGCTAACTGAAGAGCAAGCTACTGAGATGCGTGTCTTGAATCCTGCAAGCTCAGTCATTGTTTGTCTGGTGCGCATGGACTTCTATCGCTTACGGCTCTCGTTGGCTGCGTGCTTTGGCACTGCAGGTATTTGTTTGTAGAAGAGTTCTGGCTGGGTACTTAGTACTTGCAGCTGTGGAGAACTGTGGAGGTTGGCTGGGCCTGAACCTCTGTAGAATTTTTTTGTTGGATGCAAGAAAATTAGTCACTAGTGAGCTTAGCAGTGGAGTGCTTAGCTTTAGTTACTTAGCAAGCGTGCCGTTGGCTTGAACGCTGTGCTGACCCGGTTAGGTTTAGATCCTGCCCAGTGCGATTTTGAGGAGACCTTGTAATTTAATAGTTTTTAAGTGAACTATTGAAGGTGTACCAACTGTTTTTTCTTTACTAGTCCCTGGTCGTCTTACTAGAAGAGATCACAGAGTTCAATTTCAGTGGTGAGGTCTTCAGCTGGAGCTTTTACTACTTTCTGGTCGTCTTACGAAAAGAGAGCTCAGAAAGATTCAATTAACCAGTGGTTTCCTCAGCTGACGCTTTTACTACCTTCTGGTCGTCTTACGTAAAGAGAGCACAGAAGGGTTCTATTAATCAGTGATTTTCTGCCAACTAACGCTTTTACTATCTTCTGGTCGTCTCACGAAGAGAGAGCTCAGAAGGGTTCAATTGACCAGTGAAATTTCTTCGGTTGGCGCTTTTACTACCTTCTGGTCGTCTCACGAAGAGAGAGCTCAGAAGAGTTCAATTAATCAGTGAAGAAGCCTGCCAACTAACGCTTTTACTACCTTCTGGTCGTCTCACGAAGAGAAAGCTCAGAAGGGTTCAATTAATTATTGGAGTGTCTGCCACGCGGGACTTTATCAGCTTTCTGGGTAGCAAACGCCAGAAAGTGAACCGTAGGCCGAATGCACCAATTTGGTATACACCAAGCTGGTAACACTACGTTGTATAACTGTTTATTAGATAGTAGCGGAGCAGCCGCTGACTATCAACAGTGAATAATGCGGAACAGCCGCTGACGATAGTGGTAGTATATCGAACCAACACCAGAACTGATTGTGAGTATTCAGGCCCTTTTATGCCACTATTTTGGGCGTGGATAGCCTGAATGCTCACTTCTGGTAAACAGTAGTATCATACAGCATGAAGGATTGCCTACATAAAAGTAGGTGCTGCCAAGTAGACTATCAAGCACAGCGGAGGGGTGACCTGGCGGCTTGAGTGGTCAGTGAACAATAAGGTTTGTCAACGACAAGCTAACAGATATACTGAATATAACATACACGGTAGATATACAATGCTAAAGGTTGTAGTTTATTTGGATAACCTACGACAGTCGCTGCGACCCTACATTTTAACTGTGGCGGCAAGCGTACTTGCCGCATAGCAGGAATTCACATAGCTCGGAGGACCCCGTTCCAAGGCGTAAGTTTCCCCACTTTCTGGTCGTTTTTCTTGCTTTAAGTTGAGCGTTATTACGTCGCACTTGCGCGATGTTGTGGTCTGAGGGGGGCCACTCTTGCATGGCACTCAAATCCCAAAATCCACCTCTGCCCGGACACTGCCTTTGACCCCATTACGACCCACCGGTCGGGCACGCCTGACCCCACGCTCAACCCTGATCATGGGTGTTGCACGTACAAAGCAGTTTCAGAGTTAGATACGATTTTCAAAACTTTGCTCAGGCCATAATTGGAGCCTATTTTTAGAGCCAACATCCTTGCATAAAAAACAAAGGACTGAAAGCTGAGATCGGAAGTTTACATCTTCTCCTTGCTTACGCTTCATACTTTCAGGTGCAAAGAAGCTGCCGAAATATCCGGCGAAATCGAAACGTTCACCATTTGTTCAGAAAGTGGACTAGTCAAGTAAATGAACTACTGATTTCGCTAACTTAATCAGACAGCACCTTCCCAGCAATGTCTTCCTTGTCACTGGCAACAAGATATCCTCGGGAATGTTCGAGAAGAAACTGGGTGCTTCACGTTGGACAGTGTTCCTTCCTGAAGGCAGCGAACTGGTAGAGAACTTAGAAGGTGCAATTTCGTTTCAGCCATAACCGCATACGGCAAACAATTTTTGAGTTTAGGAGACGTTGAAGTGCATTACCTTACTGAGCTAAGTGACTGGGACCATTGGGTCACCTGGGACATGGAGTATGCGGTTCGTGGCAGAACTTTTGACTTGGCTAAGATGGATCTTTATGCCCCTCATATGCGAAGTTTTGATCAACCAAACGTCGTGCGTCAGCTACTCCAGGTAAGTGCTCGGACCAACTCGTTTTTGGGTTACAGTGAGATCAAGCGTGTGTTGCGACTTTTTCGGCGAAGGTTGCTGAACGGGCATCGGCGACGGGTGGGGGTCGTAGGAGAATGCTGCTCGATGAAAAATACGGGCTTAGCAAAAGCGAAGGCTAATAGGCAAAACGGTTTTCGCTTCTGCCGCAGAACATGCTTTTTACAGCATTTTTACCGGTTTTCAGTTGGAATCACATGCGCACATACACTTGGGGGCGTGGCAGATGTCGTAAGCTTATCGATCGATATCTTTTCGTTACCGATCGATATCAATTTTATCGCTTTTTCACAATGCTTGAGCTACAGGGCTCGGAGTTGGCACAAAAGTAGGTGAGCATGCTTTACTGCAAAGGCGAAAAATGCTATTCTCTCAATGAAAGAGATGTTTGCAATCAAAAAACGCATTTTCTTTTTGTTCTACAAAATTTCCTGCTGATAGCACCGGTTTGGCACCCCACCGAGTGATGCCGTAAAAGTGGATGAGTACGGTATTTTATAGTATGCTAAAGGCAGCGAAGAGCTAGAAGGTTCTGATTGAACAGGTTGTTAGTAGAGCCCCAAGCAATTAAAAAATTTAAAGACGAGAGGAGCACCTCCGAAGAAAAACTCTGGCAGATTTAGAAGCGATCTCAATACTGGAAAACTGGGTTTTGAGCTCAAAAACGATGACTATCTGTAGCTCAAAAGATGTGACTCTTTGCAGAGGTAATGCAACAGTGAGAATATCTCAGGATAATAAGAAGGGAGTCTGCGCTGTAATATAGTAATATAGTACAATGGCGCGAAGAAGCCCGAATGGTTCTTCTAGAATATATGCAAATGTCCTAAATGCAATATGTCCTAAATGCAACCTAACTTTTTGATTTTTTATTAAAATATATGAAAAAATCTGGAAGGATTTGGACCAGTTCAAGAGACCAAACTTTGTAGTGATATAGTGGGCATTTTGGGGAGACGGTCAAGAGGCTTTAAACTCCAATTTCGGGCTATGGGAAGAAGTATTAGGCTGACGTACGTTGACGTAGCCTTAGGCGTAGTTGTCGCCTTGGTGGTACTATCTGCAGGTGTGGACAATACACTGGCCTGGCAGATTTATTGAGACAGTCGACATGCTCTCATGGGAGCAGTGGTAGAATGCTGAGCGTAACAGGCGGAGCAAAGTAACTTGGCATGCATCTGGGCAGTCAGCACACTCATATCACAGCAGGTCGTGCTTATGGCATGACCTTTACGGCAATCTGGCATAAGAATTAGGCTACAAAGAGAGGTGCCGATATATCGACACACTGCGGCCGGCCATCTATGAAGCAGAAGAGGAGGGAAGAAGAGGACATGTAGAAACACATCAAATAATCTACTCCATTTCGTACTTTCTTCTTTTTTCTGGATAGAGCAGTGGTCGTTGGTGAGTGGCACGTACAGCTTGAATTGGCTTGAGATTCGCGAAATATGAGCGGACGTGGCGACGACAGAAGGCAGATGGTTGGATTAAGCAGACTATGAAATTGAATGAAAATGAAGTTTTGTGATTAGTACATTCATCACGATAGAGTGATAAAGACTTGCGCTCAGAGATATTGTCAACGTGCACAATAGTCTTATATGGGAATAAAACGGAATTCGCTCATCATTGAAGACGGCTGTCTTTGCTTCTCGTGTTACTGGAAGTGCCATGGCCTGCAGAGATGCCACAGCGTGGACGAGGAAGGTTGTGTTCGTGGATTGGTCATCATTGCCATTGACTAACTGCACCTCGGTTTCCTGTGATTCTTTTGCTTCAATTGTCGCACAGCTAAAGCCATCCTCATCGATAATTGGGATGTCCGATCTAGCAGATTTTTGTTCTGTTTGGTCGTGAGCAGATGAGCCATCTGTGGTAGAGAACTCCTTAGCGGATAAGGGCACGTTGTAATTATCTTCTTTGGTTGCTGGTTCCAAAAAGGTATGCTCATTTCTGTTGGTTTTTTGCAGTGAATTGAACGATTTTTCACGTTCCAGTCTGGACAGTTCTACCTTTAGCTTTGATTCACATTCTTCTAGTGTGTAAATAAACATTTGGGCATCATTAGTGATTTGACTTATCTCTTTGTCGAGCGAATCCCAATCGTCACTAGCTTCTTGACCTTGTACTCGCTTATACGCAGCTTCTTTAGCACGTCGTTTTTCGATCGCATCAAGTGTAAGCCCAGGAGGATGTCGAAAATGCACTTTGGTAGTGCATGCAATTTGTCGACGCATATTTCTTGTCGCTCTTGTAGATCGTCTGGAAATAATATTTTCTCACCATAGCTCGCATACTTTCATAGTAGTTCCGCGAGTCTTTTGGCTGTATCTTCACATCCTCCCTATGATGATACAAGGTCGGAATTGCTCCATTGTGGCTTCTGTCTTGTCCTTGGAAGCGGAGCATGGTATCGATCTTGTTTAGCCGATGCACCAGAAGTGTTAGGCTGACTTACGTTGACGTAGCCTTAGGCGTAGTTGGTAGTACTATCTGCAGGTGTGGACAATACACTAGCCTGGCAGATTTATTGAGACAGTCGACATGCTCTCATGGGAGCAGTGGTAGAATGCTGAGGATAACAGGCGGAGCAAAGTAACTTGGCATGCATCTGGACAATCAACACACTCATATCACAGCAGGTCGTGCTTATGGCATGACCTTCACGGCAATCTGGCATAAGAATTAGGCTACAAAGAGAGGTGCCCATATATCGGCACAGGGTTCAAAAAGTGCCGGACAAACTCCATGGCCTACTAGCTGTTTGCAGTAACCACTTGATAAGTTTGACGACTTCTGCTAGAAAACTGAGCGTTAATTACAAAATTGCTATCAACTGCATTTTCAAGGGTTTTTGACCTTCAACAATTTTGTTTGGAATCGATTTCAAGATGATGAGATGGAGCAACTCGTGCATTACCAAAAATATTTCGTTTAAAATTCGAGTGATTCTAGAACTTTGTAAAACACTAAATATGTGCTATAACAGACCATTTGACAAGATTTTTACACAAAGATGTAGCTCACGGTAGCTGCTATTCTTACTGCAACTGTCAAGACCATGGGAAAATGAAAAACCTTTAGAAATTTGCGTTTGTTCTCCTGCAAAAAGTCTCATCTACACGAAATCACCGATTTCACATAAAAAAGCTTTCGAAATGAGTAGTTGTTTACATTTTGTTCGTGATAGTCAGCATTGCTCGGTGAGTTCCAATGCCATCATTATGCGAGAATGAGTGGGGCCTAGATAGTAGAGCCAGTGCGAGCCTCTGCGAAGCAGAGGTGACGCACTGGTGTGCTATAAGCTGCCCACCTGGCAATAGAATCGCGCCTCTTGACATACACCCGGCACTGTAAACATAAATTGAGTGGCCGCGCTGGACACATTTTTATAAAGAATTTTGAGGGAGTATTATGTCGTCAATCATTCCTTTGAAAAAGAATCTTACATAACCAGAAGATTCATGTGCGCTCTCGATGCGTTCTACTTCAATGCATTTCAGTATTTGATTTACAGGTTTTTTATCCTATTATATAATACTTTAATAGAAAATCAAACAAATGGACCGTATATGAATCGCATCTATATATTTCCAGATCTAGAAGCTTCTCGCTTTGATTCTGCTAAATATAGCACAAATTTCCTTATTAATATACTGGAAAATTAGTATTATGTCGCCTCTGCAGTAGTAACATATTTTTGAGGTAAAAACTCACACCTATCATTTTTTTGGTCGTATCTGACTTCCTAGAATTGCATCCAAATTTCACGGATTCTGCTTCTCATTGTCTGCGATTTTTTTCTTGATTAGCTGCACTCTACTACGCATAACTGTTTGTTGCGGCCTCTTAGCCGCCTTCACTGTCTCCAGCTGCCTTCAAAGTATGAAGCAGGTACTCATGCTCGTTTTTGACACTGTTCGGGAAGGCTCCAAAATGGTTTTGATGGCAGAAATTGTTGTGTGTTGAAAATAAGCATTTTCCAGTCGCAAACAATTTTTATATCTCACTTTTCTCTTTTTGCGGGTGGAGTGGTGAGTGGAAAGAGTGGTGTGGACGGGGATCGAATTCGAAACTATACTTGAGCCTAAAGCGTTCTTATCAGCTCCACAAGGATGTCTTTATTAGAACATGAATTAAAATTATGACTTAAGGTTGGCAGAAGACCACTTATCTGTCATTTTTATTGTTATAACAATGGTTTAAGTAAGTTGCTCCGGGGAGGGGGCGCATCACCATGCTCGATGCAAGAATACCTGTACAAGTATGGCCCTGAGCATACCTCTCGCAATTTTAGTCGCGACTGGATTGGTGATTTGGACACTTGCCAGATCTCTTGAGACCCAACACTTGCAGATCACAAATGCTTTTGTGAGTCGATAAAGTGTGCTATTTCCGCGCGCTTAAATGAGTTTGCGACGAGTTATAAGCAATTGGAGTATTGCCAAGCGCGTCGCGACTGAAATCGCGTGTGGTATGCCCGGAACCAGTGGCGTACCGAGGGGGGGGGAGGGGTGGGGCGGAGGGTAAAAATTCAAATTAGCCCTATAAAAATTTTTTTTCGGGGGCAAGGCTGCCGCCACGCCCTCTTTTTCTAAAATTTTGGGGTCAGGAGCCGGGAAAAATTTTGGGAAACATCCCAAAAAAATTTTCGGAGTGCGTGGCTGACGCCACGCACCTTCATTAGAAAAAACTTTTTGTCGCCCCCCCCCCCCGAGCCGAAATCCTGGGTACGCCACTCCCAGGACCTATACCATTTCTTCGACTAAACACTAACGAATTGGCGCGTGAAAATAAGTAATTGCGTATGTAATCTTTCACCCTTTTACTTTCTCCCATGGGAAAAAATGCAACTGAGTGGAGTTGAATAGAACTGCCGCAACAAACATCTGATTCAATTCAAATTCCCCTATTTTAGAACATGACCGCAGCTCAACATTTAGCACTGGTGATTGACGTTGGTTCAGAATCTAGCAGTAAAACCGCTCACGTTATAGGACGATGGTAGTTCTTCAGAAAATGCAGAAACAAATCAGTTTCTTGTTTACAGGTATCAGCTTCTCTACTGGCTGTTCTTTTCGAAGGGATACGCTTTAGTGGGTGCCAGTTCCACTGGTCTGTGCGGATTTGAAACTCAAAGCTGCAAATATTACGTAAGTTTACTGCAAATGCAGAATTCCCAGGATCAGTTTCGGACAACAGCACCCACACTTGGATTAGGTGAACTAATACATCAGCCAAAGGCCAGGTTACGCCCATAGTTGACTGTGTCCAGCACAACGACGCCACAGCGCCGGCGTGGCGTCGCCGAGATACTACCAGGACCTGGCACGGGGTAGCAAATGAACAACTGGTGCCGTATTCATCAACAATTCCATTATATTCCGGAACCCAGTGGCCGTCGGTTGTTCACGAACCCATTGGGTAAATCGATATCCATGAAAAGCTCTGCTATTTTCGCTAACCGACTAACTTCTAAAATACGGTCTCGTGAGTTAAGCTCCCCACTAGGTTCCGGAACCTACTGGGTTCGTTGATGAATAGATGAACAAATGGCCTTTGTCATTTTCATCATCTACGATTTCTTCCTTAGGCCTCGATCAGAGTTCACGCGATTTGATCGTCGCGATTTAATCGCCGCGATTTTCATTCATTTTCTTTTACATTCAAAAATTTCGAGCTGGAAAAGTATCACAACCGAAGCAAGCTGATCGGCATGCAATGAATTTGTAACCGTTGTCTTGTAGGGACTGAATCGCAACGATCAAATCGCGTGATCTCTGTCCGAGGCCTTAGGCTGCGTTCATACTGATCCGGAAGGAAATACTTTCAAATCAGTTTGAACGGCACCTTATGCACTCCAACATGCAGGGTGTTCAACTGAAGCGCGTTTTTTCTTTAAAAGGCGGATATCCGCTGCTACTTCGAGATATAAGTGAGAGGAGAGAAACAGTATTGCGACTAGATACTGCTGTTGACCAGATTTAGAAAAAGAATAATGAGAATTGTGTGTGAACGTTTCGCTACATCCGTGACATTGAGGTTGCAATTGCCACCCTAATTTGGAAATAAGTAAGAGGCAGCGGCTCGGCAGATCGGCGACTTTGAAATATTCATCGTTCTCGATTCCTTTGGGTGAGCTGAGTCCAATACTGCGCTTTGCAACTTCTGGAGATATATGACACGCTTTTACGGAAGTGGAAAGTGCTATTTAGGCGGGAAGCGAGAGCCCGCTCTTTTGAGAGCGATTGGCTCATGGAGAGCGGATGGAAGGAGACACCGCACCTATCTCGACGGCAGCTGGATCGGCTCCAGCAGCGATCTTCCTGCAAGGAATAGACTTCCGCTGCCCGCCCAAGCAGCAGCGGACAGTACAGAAAAGTACAGAATAGTACAGAAAAGCGAGTTATTGATACCATTGAAAGCTGCAAAGCAATTTACAACTCAGCTCATCCAAGTTAGTCAAGAACGATTAACCCAAAGCTGTCAAACTGCCGCGCCACTGCTTTTGAGCAGGCTTTTCATTCACATATTTTTCATATGCCTTCACACTTTTATCTCATTCCGTACCGTCTATTGGCCAAATTTGGAGCCATATTGTTATTGCAAAAGAGTTAGTTTTCCATTTCTTTACTAGTGGGAATTATTCAATCATGAATCTTGTCACATCCTTCAGTTACATAATAATTCCACAAACTTTCGTATTCTGTTTCTTCTAGCTTATTTGTTTCTATACTAGATTTGGTGTGGTCCTTGAGTGTGCGCTGCAAACGAGTAGTTGTTTACCGCCTGACGCAGAGAACTCGAACTTCGAAACTTGCGCCTTGAGCAAGATCATGTATAGTTGATTCGTTGACCGCACGGATGAACATCACAGCGGAGCACACAACGCGAAGTAAAGCGCTTGTCTCAGTACAAATTCGCCATTGTACGAGTCGTGCTCTCACCACAATTCAGCCGCGCCGCGCGTGGTCCGCAGGATTTGAGCAGTCCGTGGGGTCAACGAATCGACGATATGTATGAGAGCGCTGGTTGCGTAAATGCCTCGTTCTTACGGGTATGGGGATGGTTGAGGGGTAGGTGGTGCATATGAACAGCTAATTTTACGCATCCTTTCTTTACCCCCCCCCCCCCCTCCCCAAACCATTTCTAGCTTGGCAATTTCCACCCTCGTGCAGGGCCCCGAATGCAACGGCGTGTCCCATGACGGCATCCCTTGGTTTCACCAAATGCGACTTCGCGGCATCTCGTGCCGGCTCTGTGGCGGCGCTGGAACAACTAAGGACTTAGCCTGAGCAATTCTCTCAGACTGGGCAAGTATAAATATGTTCTCATGCACTTCAGGCTCACCCGAAGAAGAGTTGCACCGTCTCCTTCGTTACGTGCAGACTTCCAACTGTTCCGTTGTGCTTCATCCGAACTTCCCGGCTTATTGTCCTGAAAGTTTGAAAGAAAATGCTAGAGTACTCTTGATTAGGTGGGTAGATCAAGGGTGGAATCTCTATACCAAAGTCGGGCGCCAAGACCGTGTCGCTGTAAGCTGAACGCCCACACGCCAGCAACGCTCGCGGGCACCCAGCTTACAACGATGCGGTAATTGGTGTCTACTTTTGACTCATGCAATCACATCCAGTTACCAGGCTCTTTTGGATGTCCCAATGAATCTGGCAAAGTCGCCGAACTTTCATATTGTCACACCTATGGATGTCCACAATGGGTTAGTTCCTGTTCAAGTCTCATATTCTGACTGTAAAACTGAGGAGATACGCGCATGTGCAGATCATAGTCTGCAAAATTAGTTCATTGTGCTAAAGGCAGCTCTGAATCTTAGGGATCGTTCAGACCGCGCACGAAGGCGTGTGTGTGTGTCGAGAGAAACGAGACGAGACGAGACGCGCCTTCGTGCGCCTTTGTGCGCCTTTGTGCGCGGTCTGAACGATCCCTTACTATATTTACAACGTAAGTTATGTACACTGTTTGCATCTAAAGTGTCAAGTTTCACAGACAACTTCAGAAAAGACATAGAATTAGCGTTTGCGCGTTTAAATTGTGTGTTCATCACAGCAATGGAACTTTATAACTCAGTTGATAGTAGCTGATATATCCGCCACTCGGTTTCTCCTGATATTAGACCTCACCATTTCGTCCCACTTATTCAGCATCTTTTTGCTCCTATTACTGATGGTAGTCCCTTGCCCCACTTTGTTTTCGTAATTAGCATTACCTCCCGTTCACTTACCTCCCTGTACCAACTTGCAGTATTCAACCTCAAAAGTTGCTAAGCAGTCGATAAAACTGATAAGCCGATCGAAGATTTTGATGATGACTACCGTATCTGCAATCACCATGTCCGCTTCCCCCCCCCCCCCCTTATACCAGATTTCAACCTTCTAGCTCAAACTTTGCTGCAACTTAATATCGGACGAGCTGTTTTCGCGAGGGACTAGGCATTTTTCGTGAAGATACGTGGTCGACTTTTTGCAGTTCTCAACAATGCGAAATACTTTGGGGTAGAAGCAGCTCTAGAAATTGGCAGAGGCATGTCCCAATAGATTGGGTGTACTGGATTTCCAGGGAATTCGTGAACACGTTGACGACCGTGTGCATACGCGCATATGCACGCCCTCACATCCATCCACCACTTCCGTGCATCATTTATTTATGTGTAAACGAAAAATTTTGTGGTAACTTCTATGCAATAATAATAAGTGGCCTGATTGTTATATAGAACACAAGGGCATCGCGACAGCTGTATAGGAGTCTAAACGCAGATTTAGATGTACAATCCATCTTGATGTGCTCCAGGAGCTCGGTCGTCAACGTGTTAAGAGACTCTCATGCCCAAGTCCTACCTCTCTTATGCTGAAAAAAATTGCGCGCAAAATGGCGCGGAGCGCATTTCGGTAAGCGCCGGACATCTTTTCGGTTTTTCTGTGGCCTTAGCATACATCTATTCCATGCTACATCTTTTTTGATGTATCTGACGTGTGGCCAAAGCTAAAGTGAAACGGGACAGCTCATCCACGTCGATTCTACTCGATCTTCGACGACAGAGTTTTTGGATTTTTTACGCCATTGTAGCCTAGAATTATTCATGGCCGAATAGGCTTGTGATTCGCAAAAATCCTGATATCAAATTCTGATGGGACACTGCCTTTACAGGGTATCAATGGCAAGAAGCAAAAAAAAGATCCAGAAATTGTGCAGCTTGGTATAGAAAAACAACTGACCATCAGCACTTTTCTCCTAAAAACCCTCGGCCCAACTCTATGTATAACCTGAAATATGGATCTGTGCATTACATCTTCATTTTCTAGCTTTCCATGTTGTTTTCGTTCTTCGCAAATTACTCGTAAAAAATCTTACGTTTGAATTTAGTATCAATATCCACAACTATGGAATTGGACACGACGGGAAAAATCTGAGCATCGATGAGCAGTGGAAGCTCAAAACTCTCGGTAGAACTCTGCTTTTTCAAACCATAGCACAACTGTGGATGATATGCAAATCATTTGTTAAGAAGAGACTGTAGACGAATTGTACGGTGATTCCACCATTGATCTGCTCGTTATTGATATGAACGGCGGCGAGTTCTCTCTGTTTCCGGAGTTGATTCAATTAGCGAACGTCAGCCGCTTCACTCGGCTAAGCCTACGTGGACAGTGAGTCAAGCCTTTTTCACATTATTTTCTCCAAATATCCATTTGATTTAACTTTAGTATTTGGTCCGAGGAAAACGAAAATTTTCGCCATCTGTATTGGAGTATGCGCCAGATAGAAACCAGTGGCTATTCACATAAATATGGATCTGTTTCTTTGCCTCGTTATGATATCGTTTATGAGCGGAGTCATTGATGTAAAGTGTCTGCGACCTTTTTATAACTTGCCAGGCAATTTTTTTTCGCCGGCACAAGCGCAATGATAAGAGCGAATAAGCTCCCTCTTGTCTATTATGCTTTCTTCTTGCAAAAAGCATCAAATTACTCTTATTCTACATTCCTTTATTATCTCATTTGTAGCTCTATTGTAGGACAAATATAGTTATACCTATAAAGCAATTCACATTTATGGAGATCGTCCATCACAATATGCTTATATGGTTGTATTCACCATTTCAATGATTTTCCATTTTTTCATGATGAGCATGGAATTTGCGTCTCTACTCTTATGCATAAAGTGCTCTAGAGTCCTGTTTATAGCCGCTCATAGAAAAATGCAATGAAAACTGCATTTGAATACTCACTCGCAGGGTAGAGGAACGAACGCCTCAATTAGGTATCGCCTTCGCGTTCTGCTGGTCCTTTCGTCCTACTGTTGTGCATCGTGTTGGGACCAGTGGTCCGCGGAGTCGGTGCCTAATTGAGGCGTTCGTTCCTCCACCCCTCACTCGCACACAAAAAATGAGTAAGCGCAGAGTATTTGGCCTACTTTTTAATCATTCAATGGCGATGGGGATATGAAGTTATCGGCGGTATGGTAGCCCAGTAATGAAAAGATGATTGATAAATTGATTATCGGTTGACCACTGCGGCAGCTCTAGCGCGCATTTGAGGCATCTTATTCCCCACGGCCAGACAAGGGGCGCAGAAACCACTCGAGCGAATGTGGCCTGGACTAAAGAATGAGGCGCAGGATACGACGATCTTGCATTTCTTGCGTGCGCAAGTAACCGACATCAAAAGCATAGCTATATGTTCACGCTCAAGTTCTAGCAAAATTCCGGCACCGCAAGCATACATTGAGCGAGAAAGATATGGATACGCGCTCACTCTCGCGCTCGCTTGGTCAATATTGCTTTTGCTCCTCCGTCCTGTATGTTTGGGTCTCTAATCGTGATTAGTGAGTTCGCGGTCATTACTCACTCATACTTCTGCAGAACTTCCACAATTTTCCTCCATCAATTAAACGCTCCTCTGCCATCAGATATTGCACATTTGAAGCTATGGAGATGATACATTTGTTTGGAGGGCAGCGTTCCCGTAATCTGGACCCTTGGAGATCGCCCCCGGAAACTGAAGCCCGTATGCACTACGTCCTCGCGGTGGAGAAGAGGGGTCTGAGAGGGAATGCGTCATATCTCGTTACTGCAGCCATATGTATTCTCTTCTTTTGTCTATGTTATGTAAAGATTCTTACACCTTATACTCAAATATAATGGATAACAGAAGATTGCCGTTTAAGCTGAGATTTCACTGTTTTGTGTGATCCTTTGAAAATCCTTAGAGGATCACCTCGCATCTTCAAAGTCACTTATTTTCCCATAAATTCGATGAAAATGCAGTAAATGGTACCAGACATACTACGGCACTGCTGAACGTGTTTATAGTAGAAATTAGTAAAATCTGAGGATATCAATATCTTCGACGAACCGCTATTCGCGAGCAGAGGTTCATCCAAAAATCACTCCTGCACAATCTATAGGTTTCGCCGGAAACATGCCTAGCAGTGCCATAGTTGATCCTCAGTACAACCTTAGGACCTTTCACCTTTCATGGTCTTCCTGGAAAGATAGACGACTTTGAAAACAAGGGGTGATCCCCCGGGAATCATCAGAGGATTACACGAAACAGTAATTCCAGCTTGTATGGCACTACCACCCATTATCCACAAGTATTAGGGTGTAAGAACCTTGGAAATCTAAATAAAGAGTCGTAGCGCAATTCGAAAATGTGCAAATAGCGGAAAACCGCGTGGCGGTCCCAACACGCGGGTCCAATCTAGCGCCTTTCATTATTGGTTCACTAGTATAGACAGAAAAAGAAGTATGCAGACATCTAGAGTAGAGAAGTACGAGCGTTCTCTCCCAGATCCCTTCCCCTCGCCAACGGGGATGTATGTGCATATGGGCCTCAGTGGTCCCAACCAGGGTCAAGCGTGGGGTGGGCATGCCACGGAGGGCGTGCAAGAGCCCCTAGCACCTTCCCTCGCACCAACTTCGCACCAGCATTCGCACCCAGGAGGGTTCTCACACCTCCGCGCCTAAGACGTCAGCCCCGCCCATTGCTTCACTCATTTACTACTCATTGTGAGGCGTGCAAACAGCGAGAACATAGACTCAGGTATTAAGGTAATAAGAGAGAAAAATGGAGAGAAAACGGAACATAATTATCATCTCTCAAGTGAGGCGGATTGGAAACGCCATCCTTTCAAAAAAGAGCATATGAACACTACTTTCAGAATAGAAAAATCGCAGAGAATTTTTCAACAGAAACCGGTCATTCGAGATATTAGAGGATCTTGTCGATCAATTGTCCATTACTGGTCATATGACTGAAGTAATTTAGCATCAGGAGTTTGAGGACCCAATTAGCTTCTCAACATAAGAACCTATTTTGCAAGGAGTAATTCAAAATTTCCGAAAATTTTCTTAAGCGTCATTTTATCCGAAAACATGAGTGAACAAAACTCGGAACGCTGAAAACTTAGCTGCAGTCATTTACGGACTCTAAACCTTTACAAAAACCTAGAATTTTTTGTTTCTCTATTTCAGTCCCATTATCCTCATATACAATGAAGCACGACTTACAGTGCGTGTACACAAATCGGAACGAGGGCACCTAGATGGGGGAGTGATAGGAGGAGCCGTTCTTTCGCCCGAGAGGGTGTGATGTCCTACAAGGGATTTCTGGAGGTGCCAAGTACCCCTGCGAGGAAAAGCGGTTAGTCTTTGGGAACTCCTGCCACGTCGCCGGCATGCCATACCTGGGGGGGGGGGGAGGGTCGTATTGAGAGGGAGACGGTCAAGAAGCGCGATTTCTCCGGCTGTCATTAGCTTAAAACTCCAATTTAGTGCTATGCGAGCCTTCAAAAAGTATCAGATGAAGTGCATTAGCTTACTATCTATCTGACATTACCAACTGCTGAGTTTGGTGGCTTTTGCTGGAAAATGGACCGAAATATTTACGAAATTGTTCTCAACCGCATTTTCATGGGTTTTTAACCTTCAGAGTTGCTATTTTGAACCGATTCCAAGGTATTAAGATTGAACACTCATGCAACCATCTGATGCATCTCCTTTCAAAATTTGAGTACTTTTAGAAAGTCATAAAACACTTGTTATGTGTTATTTGGTGTCCATCTGGCAATAAAAATCGCGCCTCTTGACATACACCCGTATTGAGAGGTGGAGGAGGGGGGTCGTTATCGAGGTGAGCTGACATTAGCAATAACATGATATCCGTTAGAAATGTTCAGACACGCACTGTATAAAGTACTAGCACGTTGATGTTTTACCCTACCATCGTATACGTCAGTAAGCGTATTAAAAGAGCACTATAAGCATAAGAGCATCATTTTCGTAAGTAGAATGTCAAATAACTTTTGTGGGCCAAGTTTCAGCGAATTCTGAGGTTTTCAAATATTGGGCCATCCAAGTGAGATATTCATTTTCAAACATGTTACTTTCGTTGCAAAGGTGAGTTAACTACTTCTTTCTGCACTTAATACAGAGAACTATTACGTCTTTGCTCGCAATAGGAATCCCACTCTAAATAACATCCAAACCATGGAATTACGAGCAAGCCAAAATCTCATTTGTTCCATTTTCCGCTTTCAATACCTCAGATTAGAAAGGACCAGGCTCAAATCACTTTGATGTAAATTATGAGGCTTAGTCTATCAAATACATTTAGCCTTGCCGCTTTCTTTCGCGATTTACATAGTAACGCAGACTAGATGTTACCTAACCCAATATTTTCGCAGCATTTTCCATTTGCATAGGTAAGAAAAAACGACTATATTCTTCCCCAGAAGAAACGATTCCAAAAGATTTCCCTAATGTGCAAAGCAGAGAGTTGGGCATTAGCAACGATATAAAAAACGCAGATATTTGAATAAGTAAAGTCAATGGGGTATGGCACAACTCTAAAAAGCTGTGGCCGCCACAGCTTTTTAGGGGTTGCGCCACACCCCATTAATTTACCTCCATAGAAAATTTTAGGAAACAAATTAGGTACAGTTCGATAGCAAAAATCTCGTAGTTTTGTAGGAGTGCTCAAAGCTGAACTCGTTTTCTTTCGTTTGAGTAATTGCTGCTGAAAGCACAACCACATCAAGCGAAAAAATGGATCAGACCAGATTTTCGCTGGCTCCTACTTCCATAGTTTGATGGTTTTTTGAAGCAGGACTCATGATAGGCAAATAAGGTGTAGTGCTTCGCATAGAGTGCAAGAAGAGGTAATTCGCTTCTGAAATATAGGTGATCATGTTTGAAAATGGCCACTCCACTTGGGTGGGGCCGATATTGGGAAACCACAGAATTCGCTAAATCTTGGCCCCATACGGGTTCTCTAACATGATAATCACAAATATGTTACTAACTATTCTAGGTAACATGAGTAGGGCAGGCAAACGAAAATGGGGGGGGGGGGTGGGGTATCGAGGCAGAGCTTAGGGAGGGAGGGTCGTATCCGCCGGTTGTGTGCCACTACCTCTTGCTCGACCGTAGTCCCAACTAAGGCCTCATGCATTAACATCCCGGCTGGAAAGGGGAACGCGGCACAGAAACTTCCTATTCTGAAACGTCGGTGTTCTAAATTTCACGCGGTAATATCCGCAAGTGATTTTAATTCCCTTTATTAACATATTGAACAGGAGCGCGAAGTTGTAAAAGCCGCATTTTCAGCTCTTCGAGCAATTCGAGCAACCCCATCTTCCAGCTACTGTTCATCGCAACTTTTGTGACCTCGCTACATCATTTGTTCTTGTATGATTAGCACTGTCTTTTAGAGAATCAGTACAACTTTAGATTTTTTTCACTGAATTCGAAAAAAAGAGAAATGATTTTGAAGGGAAGAAGGCAAGACAGTGGGGATTGCCAGAAGATCAGAGAATAAAGTGGAAAACGCAGCTCATACAACTATGCGCTCCTTCTTGATTTGTTTAGATCAAAGGGTGGTAGAAATACTTATGGATGGAAAGGCACCATGAGCTCCAAATATGTGAAGCTTCAGGATATGAAGTCTTCTTTCGAGTTGCGTTCCTCTCCCCCCCCCCCCCTCGCCCCCAGCGGGGATCTTAATGCATGCGCCTAAGCGGCGGCGTGGCAGGAGTTCCCAAAGCCTAGCCGCTTTTCCTCGCAGGGGTACTTGCACCTCCAGAAATCCCTTGAAAGACATCACACCTTCTCGGGGCCAAAGGGCGGCTCCGCCCATCACTCTTACTTCTTGATGCCCTCATTCTGAGTTGTGTACACTCACTGTAAGACGTGCTCATTGTTTATGAGGATAATAGAACTGAAATCGAGAAACAAAAACTTTGATAGGTTTCTGTAAAAGTTTATAATCCGTAGATGACTGCAGCTGAATATCCAGCTTTTCGAGCTAAGTTATCCTCATGTTTTTGTGTGAAATGAGGCTTCCCTAGAAACTATTTGCGCTCGCGCTTGAGTAAGTTAGTGAAGCATATCGTATTGATATAAAAAGAGAAGTTATGAGTCTTCCAGTCACGGTATATAACAGGGAAGTAAGTCAAGTCTACGCAAGAGCCAATTCTCCGATCATGCGACGAAGTTCGGTATTCTAGTATATCGATTGTTGGAAATATTATAATTGAAAATTTCTTTTTGATAATTTGGATCTTATCGACCTTTAGAGTGGTTGGAATGAAAAACTCATTCAAATATATTATGGCAGACGATAGAAAAGTATGTTTAGACATCCTAACTGTTGCAAAGCGTTAAGTTGCTTCTTCGGAAACTTTGATTTTTCCTTTCAAAATAGGTCCTTCTAATGTGGAGAAGGTAATTGGGTTCTCAAACTCCTGATACTAAATCACTTCAGTCAAATGACCATATAAAATTGATCGACTAGGTCCTCTAATATCTCAAATGACCGGTTTTCTATTTAAAGGATGCGATTCTTCTTTTTTGAAAATAATCTGCTTTTTTGAAAGGATGGCATAGAAGAAGTTTCCAAGCCGCCTCATTTGAGATACGATAACTATGTTCCGTTTTTCCTCCATTTTTCTTTCTTATTACCTTACTACCTGAATCTATGTTCTCGCTGCTTGCACGCCTCGCAATCAGAGGTGCGATAGGTGGAGCCGGACCCCCCAAAAGTGAAGGTGGTTCCAGTTACCACTGGCCGGCCAAAAGTGAAGGTGGTAGTGCCGGACACTCACCTCCCAAAAACGTCGACCGGGGGGGGGGGGGGGGGGGGGGGAGGGGGGAGGGGGGGGGAGGGGGAGGGGGGGAGGAAGGGTAACTTCGGATAATTGAAAAACTCTAACCCAACGGTCCCCAAGAGGGCCAACAAGTGTGACCTAACGGCCCTCTTAAGGGCCACAAATACGATGAGTATAGCGGCATAAAAATAAAAAATAAAGAAATAAACGTGTATCAAATGGTCTATTTGTAAGTAAAACCTAGCTAGACTTTACGTATTTTATTAAATAGATTTTGTCATAACGTACTGCGAATAAAGCAGGTCGATCCAGGCAGTAACCACCGAGAACCAGAATTTTGAATAATAAAATAACGTAAAATCATGCGAAATTTCCACTGTTATAAATCTGGCGTTTGAAGATGTCAGCAAATGCGACTTCATATGTTTTGAAGGGCAGGTGTTGTTCTACCAGAGAGTGAAAGAATCAGGTCGATTTGAGCAGTGGCCGCCGAGAACGAGAATTTTAAAAAATTAAGCGATTTTAGGTTACTTAGTGACAGCTGACGTTTAAACTCCTATACATCTGGAATATGAAGGTGTGCAATGTTGCGACTTCATAGGTTTTGTAGAGCAAGAATTTCTCTATCGGACTATGTCTTAGCCATACCGATCCATTGAGATACCGCCGAGATCCAGGTTTTTAAAAAAGCAGGTAAAAAACCGCTTTTTGAACTTCAACAGCTCATAACTTCTTCAGAATTGCATGAATCATGTTGCGACTTCATAGGTTGGATTCTACTCATCAAGAGCTTTCAGATGATATATAGCATGTGGGGGTTTCGCGCTCCTCACGGCATATGCCCGGGGGGTGGAGACTTTTCACCCCAAAGTCTCCATTGGCGGTCTCCGGCCAATACATTAACATGGGCGAGGTGGAGACTTTGGGGTGAAAAGTCTCCACCCTGGGTTAGAGCCGCAAAAATCATTGAGCCCCCCACATATTATATATCATCTGAAAGCTCTTGATGAGGAAAATTCAACCTATGAAGTCGCAACATGATTCATGCAATTCTGAAGAAGTTATGAGCTGTTGAATTTCAAAAAGCGGTTTTTTACCTGCTTTTTCAAAAACCTGGATCTCGGCGGTATCTCAATGGATCGGTATGGCTAAGACATAGTCCGATAGAGAAATTCTTGCTCTACAAAACCTATGAAGTCGCAACATTGCACACCTTCATATTCCAGATGTATAGGAGTTTAAACGTCAGCTGTCACTAAGTAACCTAAAATCGCTTAATTTTTTAAAATTCTCGTTCTCGGCGGCCACTGCTCAAATCGACCTAATTCTTTCACTCTCTGGTAGAACAACACCTGCCCTTCAAAACAGATGAAGTCGAAATTGCTGACATTTTCAAACGCCAGATTTATAACAGTGGAAATTTCGCATGATTTTACGTTATTTTATTATTCAAAATTCTGGTTCTCGGTGGTTACTGCCTAGATTGACCTACTACATAGATATATGCTCTCAATACTTTCTTTTGCGTTCCTTTTGCTTATTTCCTTCTTTTAAGCTTCAGCAAAAAAAAATTTTTTTCAAACCCAAAAGTGAAGGTGGTCACCCCGTACCAGCTCAAAAGTGAAGGTAGGCGGAGACTCGGCTCCGACTATCGCACCTCTGCTCGCAATGAGACCAGTAAATGGATGGAGCAATGGGCGGGGCCTGACCTCTGAGGCGCGGAGGTGCTAGAACCCTCCTGGGTGCGAATACTGGTGCGAAGTTGGTGCGAGGAAAGGTGTTAGGAACTCCTGCACGCCCTCCCGCCTAAGCGATGTGCGCAGCCGCACGACTCACGACTTCCATGATCTGGCAGGGCCCTGTGGCACAATCTACTTCAATCAGGATCAGGTCAAAACTTCGGCGAGAGATTGTTGCCCGCAGCTCTAAGGTTTTGCACTGCATTTGCGAGCGCATTGTTAAGATCGAAGAAACTTATTAGGGAGCAAAAAGGTCGTACACAACCTCCTGCAGCGAAATAATGCATCGAATGGGGACTCACATCATGCCAATTTCGACATGTTCGGATTGGTACAGACTTTAGCTATCAGTCATCGTTTATCACTGCCTTACGGCGAAAAAGCGGTATGGATATGAGTTTTGATCTGGTTCTTGTTGTGCCAAAACCCCCCGTTTCCTCGCGCTTTGCTCTGCTTTTACCAACCAGAGCTTACCGCACCATATGTTTGGAAAGATCCGGCAGTTTATGCAAAGACTGCGAAGGAATGCATGAATGAGGATGTAGCAAAAGCAGAGCTCTAGATCGATTATGATTAAATGAAGACTTTTGGGCATTACGACGAAGTTCAATATCGTTTCTCCAAAACCGATCCCTTCACGCCATCTATAGCCGATTTTGGATAAACAAAATGACGAAATTTTAAAACTAGCAGTTAGCGTATACCATAACTACCCAAACTTCACGGTTCCCATTTTCGAAGTTTTTTGGAGTATATTCTTATGTTGGGCTGCCGGAAAATAACTTCGTTTACTGGTTCTCCATTCCTTTCAAACTAACGGTCATTGCGAGTCATTCGTAAAACACGAATAAATCCAGACAGTTTCAGCTGGGCATGATTGTGTGGTGTAATCGACGACGAGTGGGAATCCAAAAATTTTATGAAAATCAAAACGAGCTTGTGAAAGCTTGGAAGGATGATGAGAAGGTTCTCAACACAGCTGTTGATCACGAAGCCAAAGCTAAAAAGGACCAGCGAACGAAGGTGAGTGGATCGAGATATTGCATATAGAAATTATAATCATACCTTCAAAGTGGATTTTGCTATGAAAAATACTCGCCAGAAACCTTTTCTATTATTGATACATCCATCCTAAATCAATTAAACTATTATCTTGACTCTGAGATTTGCTCTTATCGCGCTCTGAAGCATCTCTCGCTTGTCCGCTGTGATAACGGAGACTGCCAAACAATTAGCCGATAACGGGAAAGACAAACTTTTTTCTTCTACAGTGCTAGGATGCACGTTATACGAATCAAAGATCGTCCGCTCGAGAAGTGTCGTAAATTTAAAATCGGGACAGTGACTTTTGCAGTAGAATAGCGAAGCTAGTAATTAAGTGACTGCCCAACGCTGCGAAAGGTGATTAAAATCGAGGCGAGGGATTACTCCAGAATCTGCAATCGGATGTCGACGCACGATGTTATTGCGAAGCATGCAAGGGCACGATACAATGCTTGAAAATAACGATTCTGGCCATTTCGCTTGCGTCTCTTTTTTAGGCATCTGTCATATACACCTCAGGCAAACTCGGATATCGCGCGATTTGGCGCTGCTTGAATAAATTCTTTGCGCGCCGATTTCGAATGCACTGGCGCATAGCTTTTGTGAACTGATGCAAACGTTTCAAGCTTTGCTATTGAGAATGCGCTTTTGGAGAGTTGAGGTAGAGGACTATCAGTGCTGGCCAAAATTATAGGTCCACTCTAAAAAATGCCATAACTCACTCTGTTGTGAATGAAATTTTCCAAAATTTGGTAGAGACGTGTGTTTACCAGCCTACTATCAGTCTTCAAAACAGTTCTCGTTTTCGTTTGATTATTCAAGAAAAAATTAGAAATTTTGAAAAAAGCAGGCTTGAAGGCTGGCTAAAATTATAGGTCCACCTGGAGTTTTTACTGATTAAAGCACTTCTTAGCTCCCGAATTTTTTTAGGTAGGCACACATCCAAAAACGTTAAACAGCTGCATTGGTCAAGCTGTGCCATACCTCCAAAAAGAACTGATTATCTGCTTTTTTGCCTTGAAGATGCACTCACATGTATTTCGCTCCACAAACCTGCGTTGAGTAAGAAATTCTGCAGTTTCTCAGCTGAATCGGAAGGGACGGGGTTTCATCTATCTTCTGGATGCTTTTTGACGTGAGCATTGAGAAGAAAATCCGACTTTTTGCTGCTGAAGCAAATCTGACATTGACAGTACTGCAATCCTGAGCTCAAATTTCTGCCTTCAAACTTCTTTTACAATGTTCTCAGAAGCACTGAGTAAAGTAAAGGCATTGCTTCTATGAAGGGGAGTCCGTATACCATAGTTACAACTTTCTAGAGATCCTAGCATTCGAGTATAATTACTGAAATCACTTTGCAGAAACTGATTACGAAAAGCACCAAGGCTACTTGTGGCTCCGACCAAAATTTTCAAAAGAATCATATGCTAACATACACTACAAGCTGTATCCACTATCTAGTAAATAATTACTGTCAAAAATCTAAGCGAGGTAGCACTTGGAAAGCTATTTTGGATCGCGTAACACCATTATTACGTTGCACACACAACTCATGTTTCGAAAAAGAAGCAAGGCAGCTTTGTGGACACTTGCGAGTATGGCGAACAGCTTTATTCTTTTGTAAAAAATGCTTCTACAATATTTTGAGGTTATAATGACAATGCATAAAGGGTTTTAGGGCAGAAACTTGGGCTTACTCTGCCGATTAAGCCGATGTCAGATTTGCTTCAGCAGCAAAAAGTCGGATTTTTTCCTCAATGCTCACGTCAAAAAGCATCCAGAAGATAAATGAACACAACAGAGTGAGTTATGGCATTTTTTAGAGTGGACCTATAATTTTGGCCAGCACTGTATGTCGCCGAAAAGGGGCGGTCTCCGCCATTTGCAACAAATACGCACCCTTGAGTGTGCACGGAGATGCGTTCCTGCAAGAAATTCGCGCAGGACCTTCCACACTGGACGACATACAGTCTGCCCCAATCCTAACCAGGCCAAAATCGGCATGGCGGGAGTCCGCGCCGCGAGGGTTTCGCGCCACATCTGCGGCTAGCTAGTCTGCTCTCTCCTCGATCTCTTCACTCTCTGCGACAGCGCGCGTATGCAGCGCAATCCCCTAGCGCTGCGAGCGCGCAAATTCAGCCGACGGTTCGGCCTGATCCCGATTGGGGCAGACTGTATACTCCTCCACCAAAGAGTTCTGAACCATCGTAGTAGTGCCAAATTGCGCGAGGTATGACCAATGTCTTAGGCCTCGGGCAGAGTGCACGCGATTTCATCGTCGCAATTTATCGCGACAAGACAACCGTAACAATATCATTGTATGCTGATCTTCTTGCATTTTATTTGTGATAGTTTTCCAACACAATTATCGTGACTAATTATCACAACCAAACTTGTGCCACTATAGGGCGACTATGACTCTGGGAGCAAACACAACACGTCGCGTTCAACCTTTATTGTGACTCTGGCTTAGCTTAAAACAGAGAAGAGCCCCGTTGACTCGCGAACCCGCCCGCTTTACCGCGGGATGAGTGATGTATAGGTCGGTTCGGTCACACTACGTAGCAAACGGCCGAACCTGGGAGCAAACACAATACGCCGCGTTCAACCTTTATTGTCGCACTGACTTGGCTTACAACAGAGAAGAGCCCCGCTGACTCGCGAACCCGCCCGCTTTACCGCGGGATGATTGATGTATAGGTTGGTTCGGCCACAATACGTAGCAAATGGCCTAACAGAACTACAAGAAGATCGGCATGTGATGAACTCGGAACACTTGTCTTGTAACGATGAATCGCGGCGCTGAAATTGCGTGAACTCTGCGCGAGACCTTACGCAATCACGAAATTGCACCATAAAGAACGCGACAGTGCTGAGAACGGGTTTTGCCAAAGCGTTTTACTTGAACCAAAACAGTTTATGCAAACTCAGACAATCACAGGCTCTCAGCCGGCAGCCACAAAGCCACCGCGAAAACCCACCAAAAGCGCGGTGGCCTCATCGCCTCACTGTCGCTTCCCGCTGAGAACCGTGTCAGGGGTAGAGGAACGAACGCCTTAATTAGGCATCGCCTCCGCGGGCTGCTGGTCCTTTCTTCCTGCTGTTATGCATTGTGTTGGGACCAGTGGTCCGCGGAGGCGGTGCCTAATTGAGGTGTTCGTTCCTCCACCCCCGTGTCAGAACTGGCAGCGAGCGGGCTGCTATAAAGCGGCGGTTTCGCTTCGCGCTGAAGGCTTTATAGCAGCCCGCTCGCTGCCAATTCTGACACGGTTCTCAGCGGGAAGCGACAGTGAGGCGATGAGGCCACCGCGCTTTTGGTCGGTTTTCGCGGTGGCTTTGTGGCTGCCGGCTGAGAGCCTGTCTGAGAAGTTCGCTAAGACTAGAGCAGATTCGCTTAAGGACCTTTGGAAAACAAGGCGGCTTGCAGGCTCTAGCATGTAAAGGGTGCGCGAACGAATCCCACCATAGCTTCAGGACCCGGCATACTTTGATTTGAAGGATTTTTCCCCCATGACCCCGCAAATTTTCAAGTAGTCCTTACTGACGTAAAACTAATAAGAAAACGACAACAACGAAACAGCAATAACAACGGAAACAAAAATCGTTGACGTCAGGTCAAAGGACAGCAGGCATGTGATTGGAGCACCATATTTATCAAAGCGTTACTATTTTTGGCTCAGAAAAAAGGAAAGGCAACGGTTTGATTCGCTCTCTTCACTACATGATAGATTTTCGAGTGTTCCAGATGTCCAAATTAAAAAAGTCCAAGACTTATGTGAATTTCTCATTATTTTCGCTCCGAAACAACCCAGTTGGTTTGGTAATGGTCTAGAAGCCAAAGCCGGGGACGGGCATTAGGACACATTAGTTTCAGAAAAAGTTTTTTACATAATGTAGTTTGGAATATTGTGTACATATGGCCGAAATTTGGTGTCATGTAATTGCTTGCGCGCTATAAACAGGTTTATTTGAGCATTTTGAATTTGACGAACTCGATGAGAAAGAACACGTTAGACCATGTCATTCATGTACAGTCAATGTCAATTATGTACTCCCTTTCGCATGGGAACTACGCATGCGCAACGCAAGGGCCCTGCGTGCGGACTTCCAATAGATGAGGCCAATTTAAATGGCGAGCCACACGCGCGCGAATGTGGCGCAAAGCTCATTGCGCTAACAGAAAAAGAGCACATGATTGATACGGACTGTACCAACTTAATGGTTAGCCTACTAGTGAACCAGTAATCTAAAGGTGCTATTTGGAAGAGCGTTCGCGACCCGCCGCGGATTCCCGCTATTGGAAGATTCTTGAGTTGAGCTAACGATTGTTTATAAATCAACTAGGGGTCCAATGACTATCAGGTGTGAGAAGTGTTGTATTGGGTCACCAAAAACTCGCATAACCCTCTTTTGATGTCGTAAAAGCCGATGAATTCGTTTAGTGTTATTTTGATTGGAAAGTTCTGCTGGAAAAGGTGTGCATATAGTTTAAATGACAAGTACGACAGCTTGCAGAAGAACGTTTGAATTACTCAAAAATTGACTGGCAGTTGAGAAAGATGTCCGTTCAGTGAGACTCATTCCCGAAAATGGACATACACACCCTACACCTCGTGCTTTTTCTTTGAACTCATCATGCTATTATATAACCGATATAACCGTAGTGCACCTCCTTCTCGTAAAACATCCCGTAGCTATCCATTTTGCGGCTTTTCCTGGCTGATGCATCATGTGTTCCTTTCGCTGTAAAATTCTCACAAGACGTTAGCGGCCATTTCGAAAGCAAATGTGGCGCCTGATTTCCTCCCCACTCTAGCCTCAAAATATCAGTTGTCCGTTTCAGTTCTCTAAGCTGCAACGCAATGAATTTTTTCTCCTGAGGCTGCGTTCATACTGATCAGGAAGTTCAACAGCTCCAGCACAGCGGTCAGATTGAGCGGTTGCTGGAACTTTTCCCGAACTTTCGGACCAGTATGAACGCAGCCTAAAACTTCGCAGTCATGTCCACTTTTCTCTCACTCAGAGAGCTCCGTCCCTAAATTCCTCTTAAAAGCTTACTGGCCAAAATCACAATACCCCCTCTTACTTCAGAGTATTTCCGGTCAGTGCTCGCAGCGCCCCCTCAACTTTTCCGTTCAAAACTCTAGAGTCTCTTTCTCGAATTTTTTTCAAGCCATGACTGTCGCACAGTTTCCTAACATTTTGCATTTCTAGAACCCCGTGTCCTTCTCAAAATTTTTCCCTTCTCCCCTCTCGATTTCCTCTCGCATTCACAGCATTAAAAGCAGGCTCCCCCGCTATTTTCTTTACCACGTTCCCATGAAAAAATGTTTTTCCCAAGGTTTACTGGACGAGTCACACTTCATGCTAATGCGCGACTCTAATGTTGATGGCCATGCTGCCACAGTTTGAACGGCTTTGCGCGGTAGCGCCATATTCCGGGGGCTATGCTGGGTATATGGTAGAGGGTCAAAACCACGTATTTCGCTGAAGCTTTGCTCAGGGGTTTTATTTGTCATGCTGATCACGAGTATCATACTTTTTTGAATGTAGGGCCCTTTTACAAAGTTTGGGTAGATGTATGGTGAAGAGTCAAAACAAAAGTAAGTCTATGATTTGCGGCAGGGGGACAAAATCTTAAAGGCAGCTTCTGGGCAAACTTGGCCTTACATGCGGATCTCACGTGGAAAGTAATTTTGCAGTCTTGGCCAAGATTCTGCCTAAACGGCAGCTCAGATGCTACTCACGGTTGGATATTCCCCTCCAAACTGGTCCTAAAGATCGTATAAACGGACAACTTGTCTAGGGTTCGCATGTTTATACCACGATCCATCAATTTCGAGTGGGTTCTCGCGCGAAAATATACGAAATGAGAGATTGGCCGTTGATACGATCCTGGGGTCCACTTTGTAGGCGAATATTTCAACCGTAAGTGATTCATTCGCGCTGCTACTTAAGCAGTGTCTTAGTTAGGATCCCAGAATTACTTTCCAGGTGATATTCTAATAGGACCAAGCTCAGATAATCGCCGGGGGTAAGCGGCCAACCTTCCGCTGAGAGAGAGAAAGTACCCCAAACTCGGGTAATTGAACCACGATGACAACCCTTTCCTCAGCGTACGCGAAACAGCGTAAAAGAGTCCGAATGCTCGTTGAAAGAAATTATTTGACGAGCGCCCGCAGCAAACTCTGTATTGCTGCCCCGCTGACAGGACATTCGACAGAAAGGAGGTACCGCCCGCTGAAGATTTGGCCACGCCCCAAAATTTTGACCGCCTGCTTCCGGCGATTATCTGAGGAGTTACCTGGATGCTGCTTTTAAGTACTGTGCTGGCGCGAATTTCTACATTATGGAGACGATTGAATAGTAAATTCGTCCTGGTTTCTCAAGATGCAAGTAGAGGGGGTGAAGGTATTCTACTGTTGAAGCGCGCATGATCTGGCCCGCTCTCCTTGCTTTCCCTCACTCAGTTAGTGGCAATCTATGAATAGTTGTGTGAATTAGAAGTTCCGTGAAAAAAGAAGGGAATGTCGAATGTAGTCCTACTGGGGGTACAGAGTGTTCCTCCTGCAAGGTATTAGGTTGCGTAATAAATTCGTTCGCATTTTTTGTTTTAATTTTTTTTCAGTATTTTGCAAAGCGTTTGGCAAAATGTTAGTATGCGTTCGGGAGCCTTAAGTCTGCTCTACCAAATTTTTGTTATTATATTTTCGATTCTTGAAAAGCTGTACAAAAAATTTGACTACACACCGAAAAATCTGAGAAGACAAAAATTCCATTTTCGACATCTTTTTTCTTTCTTAGTTTTCCCGTTATTCATTGTTAAAATTCTTCTCAAAATGTTTGACAACAAGAAAAACAACTAACTGATCATTTATGCACTTACTGAAACTGTTTACGATTATCCACTTCCTTTCGCGGACCGTTTAATGCAATTTTTGTAGAAGTCTGCGTGGCAAGGCTTTGCCCCAGTGGCGTTCGTTCTTTGGCGTACTTGAGCTGTGTGTCCCTCAAATTCTGGACTTTTGACTACAAAACCCATTTATTTGATGATTTAGCGATCTTAAACCACATTATCTGCCAATTCCTGGATTGTTTGGCTACCACCATTCCTCAATGGTGCCTAAAAACTATTTTTGACATGCAATAGGAATTTTTGAAAAATTTTAGCACCTATAAGCGATCTGCGGGAGCTACAACATTCTATTTATACACTTCGCAAAATTTTCGAGCTATTTTTAAGCATTGAAACCCATTCAAGACACAGCATATCATAGTTGTCGTAAACGGGATTTTCGTTCTTTCAGATTTTGTGGTTTGTAGTCGAATTTTTTTACCTTTTTGAAAACTGGGAATATGTCACCATACCAATTTTTCCAATACTTCTCACCGTATTTTTTTGCGTTTATCGTCTATGCTGCTTGGTGATGTTGCAGTTATGATGGCACACATTAAAAATATATAGTATCTGCTGTGGAGCATGCCATATCTGCGGCGCACTTAGTCTAAGCAAAAGAAGAGTACAGAACTTCTTTGCTTCTGATGTTAGAGCAGTGCAATTCATCCACGTTACGTGCTCCTGGCATTCTATCCATAGTACTTGTTCTTCTAATAGTCGTCGCTCTACAGCAACTTTTGAGACTTTGAGAGATTCTAGACTGTACATACTTTGATTACTTTCACAAATCTGAATTCTTACAGCATCAAATGACTTGGAAGCATTTATACATGCATTTAGCGTTTTGTAAATACCCAAGCTGCAGAAAACTATATATGTGTGTGCCATCAAAACGAAGGAAAATTTCGTGCAAGAAGCAGCAGCGTTTTTGACGGAACGCTAACTTTGAGGGCTCATAACTCACCAACCACTGAAGATGGAACGAGGAGAGTGGTACCAATAGAAAGAGAAGGAGAAGCTTTTAAACGAAAATGCTCTTAGATTTTTGAATTTCTTTCATTGGAAGGACGACATATGGCGTTCAAATTATGTACCTTTAGATCTTGAAACACCAAGTTCGCGGCGACGGTGCTTCCCAAAGCTTGCATTTTTGGAACCAACGTTAGTGGTAAAAAGAAATTCCTGAGCGGGGAATCGAACCCGGGTCTGTCAGCTGCGAGTCGCATCCTTTAGCCACTAGGCGTCATGGAAACTACATTGTAGCATCGTGTTCATGCACTTTAATCGCCTTTCTTCGTCAAATTTCGATGAAAGGATTGATGTGGTGGTGGGGGGAGGGGGAGGCTTGCTTTGAATTAAGCGTAGGGCAAGAAACATCGGGGGAGGTTTTGCGTCGCAGTGTTCTTTAGCACTTAAAGGATGGGTAAATGCTCAAAAGTCCTTCTCTGCAAAATAAAATCTTACTGCACCTTACCATTCTTTTATATGAAATGACCCTAAGTCAAGATGAGCAAAAATTCCAAATTTTTTGGCCGTATAGCCTCTATAAATCATAAATATCTTATATATAAAGCTGAATGTCTGTTTGTCTGTCTGTATGTATGTCTGTCTGTCTGTACGTATGTTCCGAATAGAAAATTCCATTTCTGAACCGATCGGGACCAAACTTGGCACACATACACTTCGGGCCCCGGCGGGTGTCATAGGCTACTTTTCGTCATCGATCGACATCGATTTTATCGATTTTTTGCAAAATTTGAGCTACGGGGCTGGGAGTTGGCACAGGGGGTAATCAAGCATGATCATCCCCGTGGTGGTGATCAGCATGCTCGATTACACCCCCCCCCCCTGCCAAATTCCAGCCCCCTAGCTCAAATTTTGCAAAAAATCGATAAAATCGACATCGATCGATAACGAAAAGTGGACTGTGACACCCGCCGGGGCCCGAAGTGTATGTGTGCCAAGTTTGGTCCGGATTGGTTGAGAAATGGAATTTTCTATTTGGAACATACGGCGGAGCCGGGTAAGCCAGCTAGTGAGTAAATATTAATGATATGTGCATGAATTTTCATCGCAATAATTCAGTTGTGAATAAAGCAAAGAATTATGTATGAGCGACTTATCACTCACAGAGACTGGCCACCGTTGCGTCCAACCAGAAAATATGTTTTGAAGAGACAGCAGACGGAAAGAGGGATGAAAGTGCGCTCGATCACAAAGATGACAACGTGCGCAATGACGTCCTGTCTCTCTTGAATCGCTCGCACTGGTCTCTACAGCAGAAAGTGGATGTTGCTTTGTGCGGTACAGTTGACCGGAACTGACCGGGCTGAATGCCTGCAAGCGTGTCTCTTGCGGGCTAACATTGGCATTCGAGCGCATGCGTTATCATAGCGGCCGTACTCAGCAACCGCGTTGTAGGCACGCTCGCGTGCGTTCAGCCTACAGCGACCAGACGATTTCGTGCTGTCGACAACAGTCTTTTTCAACCCGGAGTAGGCGAAACATCTCAAGTGGGTGGGCACCGCCACTGGCAGCGAGATAAATGAATGAAGAGACGCAGACTGCAGAGCGGCGCGAATTGTTGCGAAGACTCCCGCCACTTCAATTCCCGCCTGAACCGAGTTGAAACTTACTATACAATTCACTTTGCGTTGTATGAGCAGACGGTAAGAGGTATAAAAATGCGTCTGATGCGAGAGAGGCAACAGCGTCCGTAATGGGCCCTGTCTCTGCCTGCGTTGATTCGCCTATGTAAACTATGCGCTTATGAGACAGCGTGTCAATGGTACATTTAGGAACTCATACTTGCGTCTTTGAGTGGTATTTCAGGTTTGGGACACACGACTAGCCACGATTACCATTGTTCTGAACGTCGCTCTTATTATAGCTAAAACAACAGCAGCGATTCTGTCGGATTCGCTATCCGTTATTGCATCAGTGGTTGATAGGTAAGTTGAATAGGATTTTCTGCAGAAAACTCTCTATATATGGTTTCAGCGCCATGGACATCACATCAGGGCTGGTGCTGTGGTTCACATGCCGCCTGATCGAAAAATCCAACAAAGATCATTATCCCGTTGGTTTGAACAGGTAAGTGAAAGTATGACGGTCGTTGTGATGCAAGCAGTACCGACAACGTTTGCGCGGAAAACTTGTCGGTATAATCACAATACTTACACAGAGAAAATGGCCATAGAGTACATAGAGCCTAGTAGATTTTCTGTCCAATATAGTAAGTTTGCAATATCGAACATGGACGATCAGATTTGCAAGTGAACAGCAACCCACGTCATAATGCCGGCATTTTGCGCTCGCAAATGTTATTGGCGTGGACATGTGTTCACTCGAAATGGGTTGCGCGAATGCTAGACGTAGCCCGCAGTCGCTCGGCAGCCGCGGTCAGACACGCTTGCATAGTTCAGCTACGGCTATACGGGCATTAAAGGCAGTGTCCGGGCAGTCCATTTTGAGATTTTTGCTTATTCCCGGGCCTATTTGCTATGCTGAATCCGAGAATCCACATTGAAGAGCGCTAAAACTGCAAAAAAGAGCTCTAACGCAGTAGGGAAATCAGCAGGTTGCGGGGTCTTCCTCACTGTGAAAATTCACGCTTCCAGCTTCCGAAGCAATCTTCCCGATTCCACTGGCCGCCCTGACATCGTCACCTGCCAAATGCCGAACGCTTGACCTGAATTCAGAACCGAGAAGATCGCTCCGTAAGCGGGAGTGAATTTACAATAAGGAAGACCCCGCCCATCCGCTGATTTCCCTCCTGCATTAGAACCATAGGTGGAACAATTTCTCTGCCTTTTCCACTCTTGGGCAGGCATCTGGATGACCTCCAGGGTTGAGCGTGGGGTCAGGCGCGCCCGAGTTAGGGGGTCGTATTGAGGATAAGACTGAGGGAGGGGGTCGTAATTAAGAATCGAATTTGTTCAGTTGGGGAGACACGCTACGAAGGTGAAGAAGAAATGCGCTAGTCCGGTGGTATCAAAATCACCTAAAGGAATGACGGTCATTAGCAGCATACTGATTGTTTCCACAATCGAAGTTAGCCAAAATTTAATCTTCATATTTTACCTTGACAGATCATGAGGTCGACAAGGAAGCTTGCTGTGTGAAATGTTGAATCCTTTCCATAACCAGCATGTCAGATCACTTCTATGCGCTCTACAAACCATTGCTTCTGCATTTTCTAATATTTCTCAACGTCCAAAACACGTGATTTTCAAACATGATTAACTTGGTTTCAAAAGTGAAATATGTAAGCTTTTCTATACTCACAACAAAGTAATGTTCACTAAAAGTCTATGCTACAAATCAGGCTTCATATCGCTTTCAAACAGTGAAGTAAGAAGTGCTGCCAAAACTTTAAACGGCACGTTTTTCACATTGAGTGCTTTAACTCCTCGGATTAGCACAAGGCCGAAACAAGTCGACTCAAGCTCAAACACTTACTATTGAATCTTCGAGGGTTGAGCTAACGAATCACATAGAACTTGGGTAGAAAAGCTTCTTCGGAAATAAAGTTAATGAGGTCAGGCGCAACCCCTCAAGAGGTCAGGCCGCCTGAGCTTTCAAGGGGTTGCGCCTGACCCCATTAACTTGCCCTCAGTATTCAAAAATCGCCCTTTTTTTAGTGTGAGTATTGATCGCAAAGCCTCTTCTTGCTATACTGAAAATTTGGAGCCAAACACGCCATCCCTACGAAAATTATAGCTCTGAAAAGAGGGCCATCCAGATCCAGAACTTGCCGTCAAGTTGCGTGCAGTTGTGCAATCGCAGAAAACCGGGCCTACAGGCGTCCAAGAATTGAAACCTGCATTGAAAGCTGGTCTTTTTCAAAATATAACATCCTGAGGACGTAGAGGTGAAGAGGAGGACTCGTGCAGGGGCTTTCCACGGGGGGGGGGGTTGTTTTTGAAGGACTTGTGCCTGACCTCTTGCTCAACCCTGATGACCTCCTTCACCTGAGGTTAAGACTAGTCTCAAGACATAACGGCAGAATAAAACATCTACGATAAATGGTGCACATTTTCTCAGACAAATGACCGGAACTTCCGCAGAGCGCTTGCGGAAGTTCCGCCGGGTCATCTGCGGAAGTTCCGTAAACGTACTGTGGAAGTTCCGAAATGAGGTCCTGCGGAAGTTCCGAAGAATGTCAACCACAACAGCAAAAGAGAACACCGAAGCGAGATTTGAACCTCCCTCTATTGGCTGTGAGACCCACCTACTATCCTCTACGCTACGGCTGGCATGTTCGATAATGTACTCTAGTTGTTGGCGAGGCAACATCACGAGACAACACATTCAAAGTCCTGCGGAAGTTCTGGCAGGCCAAAGTGCTGCGTAACCTCTAGCAACTTTCGGAATTTCCGCAGGATTTTGAAGAAGGTTCCGCGGAAGTTCCGATTTTCAACGTTTTCATTTTTGCAATGGTGAACAAAATCCTGCGGAACTCCTGCAAATTTGGCTTGTCCTGCGGAAGTTCCGGTGATTTGTCTGAGTTGTTTGGGGCTGCCAGCTGCTGCTGGGCCCGGCACAGATCGTCTGGAAGCAGGTTGGATTTCGTTTCTGTGACAAAAAGCAAAGGGTATATTGTTCTGCGAGGTCCGGGGCGGAGCTCCGGAAAAAATGTGTACATGCATTACTAGCGAAGCATGTGGAGGTAAAGTGCACATACAGTGTGCAAGACAATTCAACACACTTCCTGTAGCGCCAGAAGCGACCACTCAGTCAAGCAAAGTTTTTAAAGACAGATTATTACACGATTTACGTGTGCTCTACCGTGTTTTGCGAAAAGCGAGCCCGATCAAAAAGCAAAACCAATTTGAAATTTAGTTGTTCACAGCGTGGAGACAAGCATATGACACCAAATTTGGACGGTAGCCATAGAACATTTTTTATGGAAGAATTATGTAAAAAGTTCTGAAAACTTATGTGAAATAGTACCTTTTTTAAAATTAGTACGTTTCCAGAAGTCCACCAGACGATTTGAGATCGTCTGGAGCATATATTACTTCTGTAAGTTCCCATAAGTTTCGGATTTTTCTATCATGGACGGATTCCCCGGTCAGGAATTCATTCCTGAGCATGGAATCATTTCACCACATCGTTGCATTTTCCTTGTTTTCCTCAATTTCATAACTCGCTTTGTTATATCGCACTCCAATGACAAGCTTTTGCGCAAGCATAGCATTCAGCTCCATTTTCAATTTTCACTCGGATTTCACGTTTTACCTTCCAGACTAGTGACTCTTCTATGTTTCCATCTTTTCCTAAGTTGATAAGTTTCCGATAAAGGCCAAAGGGGACTTCGTAAAAATTTCGAAAGTCAGAGGGGGTCTTGGGACGGGCTCTTCCGACCTGTTCAAGTTCCTGCTGTGCGGCAGAGTACGCATGCCGCTACAGTTAAAACTGTAGGGTCCTGCAGCGACTCTGCGTCCCTGCTCTGGTGGGGACCGTCGAATTTTAAATTGTTGGGCTTTGGAAAACGCATGTTTTCGCCGTTTTCGCGCCTTCTAGTTGGGTTTTCGGATTCACCGTTGCGGATAACCCCAGTGAGTGGATTTTCTAAAAATCGAGTTTTTGCCCGGACACTGCCCTGCCCTGAGTCTCTGACCTGCCACGCAGGGCTACAATGTTCACAACCAGGGTCAAGCGTGTGTGTAGCACGCCACACCTGGGAAGTCGTAGGGGCGGGGGGGGGGGGGAAGGTCGTTATCGAGGTGTTATATAGTGATATTAGCGACATGATGTCAGTCAAAAATGTCTGATAGGCCCGTTTGCAAGGTACGAGCACTGGTGCTTTGACCTACCTTCGCAAACGCACAATAAGCATATTAAAATCAAGAGCATCATTTTCGTGATTAGCATGTCAAATAACCCCTGTGGACCATTTCAGCGAATTTTGAGGTTTCCAAATATCGAGACACTCAAGTGAGGTGGTCATTTTCGAACATGCTAACTTGGTTTCAAAAGTGAGTAAACTACTTTTTTTTGCACTCATTACAAAGTACTACAACTTCTTTGCTCGCATTAGGAATCCCACATCAATCTACCTCTAAACTCTGACATTATGAGCAAGCCAAATTCTCGTTTGTCCCTTTTTCCGTTTTCAATTTCTTAGACTAGAGAAGATCAATCAGGATCAAATCACTTTTGTGAAAGTTACGAGGATCAGTCTATTGAATATATTGTTCTTGCCGCCTTCCCTTGCGATTCACGTAGTAGCGCAGACCTAGCATATTACCGTAATCCAACATTTTCGCAGTGTTTTCCATTTGCTTAGCTAAGAAAAAACGACTATATTTTTCCCTAAGAGAAACAATTTTGAATGAGATCCCTGCTATGTGGAGAAGAAGCTTTTTAGCAATCATACAAAAAAAAACAGAGATTTGAATGCTTTGAAGGCAAGTTTTTTGGAGTGTGGCGGTCACAGTTCTTGAGGGTTGTGCCACACCCCATTACCCCACTACCACACCCTAACTTACCTCCAAAAAGAGTTCTAACGAACATAACACATATAGTTTGGCAGCATGAGTCTTGTAGTTTTCATAGAAGTAAGTCTGGGCCTATTCATCTTCTTCGCTCTGTATAAAAGCTAGTGAAAGAGCAGCCACTGTAAGCGCGAAATGGGACAAACGAGATCTTGGCCTGCTCTAATTCCATAGCTCGATGGTTATTTGAAGCAATATTTATGGTATGGGTAAATAGGGAGTAGTGCTTTGTACTGAGTACAACAAGAGTTAGCTAGTTTACTTTTAAAACATACACAGTTAATCTTGTTCAAAAGTGATCACTTCACTTGGGTGGTCCAGTATTGGGAACCCTCAGAATTTGCTAAAACTTGGCCCATAGTGGTTAATTTGACATAATAATTACGAATATGTGCCTAATTATGCATGTTAGAGCCTTTATGTCATGCCTACGGAAGGCAAACGATAATGCTCATACCTTCGATAGTCAAGAGACAGAGGCTAGAAAGTGGTAGTTGTTTGAGTTCCTGCCCCCTATAAAAAGTGAAGGTTGTTTCAGAAAAATAGACGAAAATTTAGAGATACAAAATAAAATAGGAAACTCAGAAAATTCATATAAAGCAGAGGTTAGCACATCACTAAATCTGAAACCTTAACTTGGTGGTTTCCTACGCAGAGTTTCGTCTCCAGGATTGCCGGTTGAATTGGGTGGCAACAACAACAAAGTTCTTTTCCAATCAAAAAAAGCGTTGTTTAGCTGTGGCGTTAGTTGGGAGACCGAAAGAAGAAGAACTTGTCAACAACTAAATTGAACGTGTTAAACATGTCTGTAAAGTTGTGTTGCACATCGACGCCAATCTGATTTTTGATGCGTCCTCTAAATTTTCACCCCCGCATAGTCGTTTCGTAAGCTGCGACGTTGTCTGGATTCTTCCGCTCATCATTCTGAGCAAGTAGCGTCCAAGCTGGAAAAAATTCGTTGCAAAAGCACAGAAAGAGAACAAGGTAAAGAAAAACGCACTTTTTTGTATTTTTCACCAAAGAAACCGGCATAAGAAAGAAGTAAGCTCGGCGACGTTGTCTACATCATAGACAGAAACAAGACCTATCGAATACACAAAAAAAAAAAACTGAGTGAAAAAAGTTGAACTGAAGAAAAAACAAGAGGTTTTCGAAAACGCCGTTTTTCGAGGATTTCTCGTTTAAATCCTAAAAAGAAGTTCCGCGACGTTGTCAGCATGAAAATAGAGATCAAGAGCTTTGATATGATGTATAGATTATCGAAATTGGGCTCCGAACAACGAAGAAAAGGGTACCAGAGCCAAATGCCCCGCGCCCCGCATTTGAGGTAGCGAGGTAGCGCGCAGCGCGCGGAGACGCAGACGAGCAGCGGAGACAGACCAGAGACAACGGGGCATTTGGCTCTGGTCGTGATCTTCGCGGGGTCTCAACGAAACCCTGCAACATTATATATCGTTGTGATCCTATGGGACGGCTAGCAGCACTGACAACGTCGCGGGTCTTGAAAATCACTCCATAACGAGATAGACCAGCATTCATATGGCGATTCTTTGCGCAAGATTTGAGCGCAGTTTTTCGTTTTTATTGAACTCTGGCGGCTTTAATGAACTTCCAACATTCAACCGCAGTTCATAGAAAGGTTAATTGAGAAATTTTGCCCTAGATTTTGATTGAATTTTCAAATAAAAACCTTCTTCTCAACAAAAAAGGCCATAAAAACGCAATCTTTCGCTTTTTTGAGCTTCTTTTGAATGTCACTGCTATATTTGCCTCATTTAAATTTATCCCTATACGGTTATGTCTTTAGTTATGTCATAATTTCCGGGGCTCCGCCCCGGATGACTTCTGTACTTCTCCCCAGGTGAAGGTTGTGTTCTATCATGACGCTCAAAGTGAAGGTTACCAGAGTGCATGGCTCTATGTATCGAAGGTATGATAATGCTGGTGGGGAGGGGGGGGGGGGGAGGGGTATTAAGACAGAAGATGAGGAGGAGGGGTATCGAGACAGATAGAGGGGGGGGGTCGTATCCGGCGCTTGGGCCACACCTCTTGCTTGCTCTGTTCACAGCAGCAGCGACATGGCTTCATGGCGGAAATTCAACACTTCGTTAACGGTTGTTGCATGTTGCAGACATGTTGCTGCTTGTCAGCATGTTCGGTATGCTTCCGAGAGTCAGGGATCCAGGGACGTAGTGACAATCGTAAAGTGGACGATGATTATCTGTTCTCGCGCAAATTCGGTCGCCCAATCTCCCACCGCAAACATCTGTATTTAGCGGGAAACCACTGGACGTGTCTACATAACTTTGCGCCACATGGTCTTTTTTCACGCGCAAGTATCGCTAGCAACGCACTGACACTATACTGATGAACAATTTTGATTAAACAATGTTTGGAAAGAAATAGAGGACTTAATCAGTTCTTTTAGGCTTGAACCTCTCACCACTCTCATCGTCGGATTGATAATGGTATTCGCCAATGTGCTAGTTCTGGAGGAAGCTGCTAAAGACTTTGTTACCGGCGATGTAATTTAAGTGATACTCACCAGAGAAATCCTAGTTAATTCCATCTAGATTCATCCACGAGTTGGGATAGCAACGCTTGTGATTTTATGTACAGGCACAGCTATCAAAGCAGGCAAGACAAAGGTTCGAGCAAAATCCATTCGAATGCTCTCGTTTTAGTGTTGTTCATCGTACTGCGATCAAGGAATACCTCAACTAGTCGTGTGCTAGCGATTGATCAACGAAATGATTGCATAACGAACGTCGTCGCTCTTGGTGGGGCATATTTGGGACATGGATGGTGGAAATACGCGGATCCAATTGGTGCAACACTCGTCAGGTAAATTTGTTGGTAAATATAGTGTCTTTGCGGTACCGAGACTCTGCGGTAAAATTGCGTTGAAGAATAGCTACATCGAAATGTCGGCAATTTGCGCGTGCAACGTGCCGACATTTGAGGCACTTGTTAGAGCGCCATCTTTACCGCAGTATCTCGGCACCGGAGAGACTATTACCGACAAATCTACTCCATGTGCCCGTATGCAATAATCAGAGAAAAATTGCAATACTGAACTGAGTTGGCTAGTGTGTTGGCAAGATTGTTCGAAAGGCAGTGTACAAGTAAGGGGGATGTTCTGCATTTAAAAGCAGCATCCAGGCAGATCTGGATCTATGGGGATTTTACGTGGAAATTGATTTTGGGGCTCTAACTAAGGCATTGCCCAAGCGGCAGCGCAGGTGAATCACTAAGGCTCTCGCCAGAGTGCCGAAGCCACGCCAGGGCTGCGCCGAGCTAGCTCCGAGCTGTCCTGGCGCTGTTTCGACCGATACACGAGCAATTCGTTCGGGGCGCTAGTCGACCTAGCTCTCACAAAGGAAGTTCGCTTAGTCGAAGCGGCTATTTGGAAGCCGGTCTATACCAATGGATAAAGCTCAAAACGCTGATTTCAGATATGCCTTCTATATCTGCGATGTATTCTGAAAAAAGTTACGAGCTTTTCTAATGTCGAATTTTCATGCATTTTGAGTCGAAAAATTAGGATAATTTCTCCACAAAAGTATGCAGGCTTGGCAAAACCACTTACTAGGCACTGTAGGTTAAATTTGATTTCATCCGAATTTAGAGTGTTTTCGACCATGCCGTTTATCCACAGGTCGTCATTTCCTTTCTAGATCACACTTCCATTATATCTACAAAAAAGCCCATAACTCCACCTAGAAAAACGCGTCGCAGATACTGAAGGTTTTATCCAACGGTATACATCACCTTCCGAATCGCCACTTCGACTTAGCGAACTTCCCTTGTCAGTCAGATAAATGCACCGACTATTGATCGAAATCTCTGTCACAAGCTTCGGCAGCGCTTTGCCGGCACAGGGTCAGCTAGCCCCCCCCCCCCCCGAACGAAATGCCCGTGTATTGATCGAAGTAACGCCGGGACAGCCCGGCGCTAGCTCCGCGCCGGCGTATCGCTGGCGTGGCTTCGGCACTCTGGCGGGAGCCTAACGGCTGAGATATGCGCCTCCAAGTGGATCCCAGTCGTGTTCACATGGATTCCTGGCAGTTTCGCGTGAGGACTCACGCTCTGCGCCATGAATCCATGCGAAATACGACCGGTTGCAGTTTCGAGGGGAATATCTCAGGTGTTAGAGCACTAATTGAGCTGCCGGTTGGGCAGTGGCTTAGTTAGGGCAAAATTACTATTTACGTGAGAAATCCATGTGTCCAGACTTGCCCGGATGCTGCCTTTAACACGTTTCGGATCGCGAAGTCGCGCGCGGGGAAAAAGCATGCAGTTTTGCTCGAAAGTCTACAATGTACCCTCATTTTTTGGAATCAGCACTATTCAACCAGCATCTTATATTATATACCAGTGCGTCACCTCTGCTTCGCAGAGGTTCGCACTGGCTCTACTATCCGTGCCTTCTTCGTGATCGCATAATAATGACTTTGAAACTCACCGCGCTATGCTGAACATCACGAATGAATTGTAAACAACCATTCATTTTTAGTGCTTTTCCATGTAAGATTGGTAATTTCAGGAGAAAAAATTTTCCCGCAGAAAAACAAATGCGATTCTGAATGGGTTACTGAATTTATTTTGGCTTTATATTCGCCATAAGGATAAACACCACTTTGGGCTACATATCTATTCAAAAATCCTCTCAATTTTTATAGAAAATTCTTGGCAAATCGACAATTTGCTCACTTACATCTTTTTGGCGCCAATTTTGTGTAAAGATTGACTTTCTGCTTACTTTTTGAGCTGAAGTCAATGTTTTTCGGATTTACTTGCTGAACAAATCCACGACTTTGCAAAAAGCCCAACTACCGACAGATTTTGGCGGACCAAAAGTCGCGCGGACCCGTTTGGCGCTCAGTTTTCACAGGTTCCACTAATCGGATCGGCTTGTGCTTTTGCACAGTTTACCTACATGTTGATAGGGTGTTATGACCAAAATTTTAGCTCAGGATCTTTGATGGAAGTCGCTCTACGAATTTCGTGACAGACAGACGTACACACAGACAGACAGACAAACAGACGTAAACACCCTTAGCCCGTTATTATTAAGTCACCAGTTCGTCACCTCCGCTTCGCGGAGGTTCGCACTGGCTCCCTATCCGTATGCCTTTCTCATGTTCGCATGAGAATGGCTTTGAAACTTACCACGCGATGCTGAGCATCACAAACTAATCGTAAACAAATGTTCATTCATGAAGCATCTGCATGTAAGATCGGTAATCTTTAGGAAAAAAAACTTTGTTGCAAGGAAACAAATGCGAATTTGAAAGGATTACTGGATTTATTCTAGTTTGATGATCGTCATAAGGATAACAGTCACCTAGGGCTACATTTCGGTGCAAAAATCTTTTCAGTTTTTTCAAGTAAAACCTTGCCAAAGCGACTATCTACGCGCTCATCAATTTTTGGCGCTGTTTTCGCAGAAAAGCAAACTTTTTGAGCACTTTTTGGGCTAGAATTCATGGCGCGCAGAGTTACTTGTCAGGCAAATCATAACTTTGCAAAAAGTCGAATTAGCGGCCCAGTTTTGCGTGCCAAAAGGCGCGTGGACCCGTTTGACGCGCAAATTTTGAGGGACCCGCTTATCGAACCGGCTCGTCCTTGTGCATGGTGGGCCTACACGCTGGCACGGTATGCTATGCAAAATTTCAGCCCGATAGCTTAGTTGCAGCTTCCTCTATGAATTTCGTGACAGACAGATTTTCACACAGACACACAGACACACAAAAAAACAGACGGCCTTAGCGCGTTATTATAGTAGGATAAAGCTGAATGTCTGTTTGTCTGTCTGTCTGTCTGTCTGTATGTGTGTACGTATGTTCCGAATAGAAAATTCCATTTCTGAACCGATCGGGACCAAACTTGGCACACATACACTTCGGGGCCGGGCGGGTGTCATAGGCTACTTTTCGTCGATTTTTTGCAAAATTTGAGCTACAGGGCTGGGAGTTGGCACAGGGGGGGTGATCCAGCATGCTGATTACAAATATATTATTGACAGGCCCGGGCGGAGCCGGGTTTGCCAACTAGTGTCAAATAAAGTTTGTACCCAAAATTCCGTGAATTTGAAACCTTTCAATTTTGTCATCTAGGTATGATTGCTTCGTTTTCCTGGGGATAGAAACTCTCAGTATCGAATGGTAATTGAACCCATTGTCGCACGGTACCCATAGGTATCAAAAACATTGTATTTCTTAAGAAAATAAAGCAATGAAAGTTGTGACGTCGCACGCGTCGTTCGCGTTCCCCACCATGTTGAAACCATTGTTTGATTTGTGACTGTATCTCCTGAACGAACTGCTGCGGCGTGGCCTCATGGAGTTATCTTGAAAGTATGGGCCCAAGCTTTTAACCTGATACCTCTGGAGTGATAAAGCTCACTACGGAATTTAGGAAGGTCCAGTAATTCGTGTGCTGGACCATGAGCAGCACCGGTCCGAAACGTTTTAAATACTGTGCGAAAGTATTGTGGAGTTGTCGGTCACACGGACTGGCCCTAGACTGCGAAGCACGCGCGGCGCGGCATGCATTAGAACACGATTTGTACAGTAGCGATTTTTACTGGTACAAGTTTGGCCTATCGGCGCATCCGTAATCTAAGGCCAGTCCGTACGGTCGACGACTCGACGGAATGCGTTCTGAACTCACCAGAGTAAGGCCGGAATAGACAACTGGTTCAACGTTTGTACAATTGCGATTTGTACTGGTGCCGGTCCGGCCCCTGGCCGCGGCAGTTGGCTACCCGGTTCCACTCGGACGCCTCCCTTCAAAGGTAGTAGACTCACCTACGCCATAGCCGCATTCCCGCGGGCTAAGTTCATGCTAGTCTGGTCGGAACAGTGCTTGAGCTGAGCTGCTCGTGTTGCAGCCGATCGCAATGAGCGACGGAAGATAGCAGTTTTCGAGTTTCTAGCGGGACAGTTTACTCATTTTGATCTCACTCCTCTACATTTCCCCGTATTGAAAAGTGTTCCCTTGTTCTCCACAAGCTCTATCTCTTTGGCATTGCCACCACGCTTCTTGGATGTATTCTCCAAATCACTTCACAAAACCTACGCTCATATCAGAACTCATGCGTAAAATCACCCTAAGAAAATCTTACCGTAACTTCCAATCAGCAGTTTTCTATGAATTGTTTTCAAGCGGATTCATAGTAATCACATGGCTGATGACTGTTCGGGAGCAAGTACCACTTCTCATAGGAAAGACTGCAAGTCCACAGCTGATTAACCGCATAATCAACGTTAGTATTTCAAAGGAAGACCTTCACATCATACTTACCACAAAGATACATTACTTCAAGGTAGCGATAAGTCACGATGATCGAATCAAGTACTTGGATACTGTATATGTCTACCATTTTGGAGCAAACTTTCTAGTTGAACTGCATGTGGTGAGTTGAGTAATGTCCAGAAGTCCTAGAATTCGATTATTCTGCCACTTCTGATATGAGCTTTGAATGCGCTGTATCCGAAACTGCACTTTAGTGCTCGAGATGTCAAATTGCTTTTTCAATGAGAAAATGTGTTCCGATGTGTTGTCAACCACCCTCTAAGCTGCGAATGCTTGATTGAGTCACCAGAGTCTTTCTTAGGGGCGCGTCCGCAGATCTCAAATTTCAGGCTTTTGTCATTCTCAACGCTTTTCATGGCCTAATTTCAAACCTAAAGGCTAATTTGCGTGACCTACAAAAACCCTTGTTTTGGCCCTACTCTGAGCGGACGAGTCCGGTGCTAATTCAGTGAGGATAACGGCTTGCAGTCGTCACGTGAAGATGGCGCGCGCAACCTACTCAGACAGTCGAAGGGATATCTCCGGAGGGCAAATGGCGGCGGTCCGCCACTTCGTGCTCCGGAGCTCTGCCATTTCACCCATTGGTGCTCCGGGGCTCCTCCAAATCTGGTGCACTCCCGGAGCAGACGTTTGCGAGCCCCGGGGAGGGGTCCCATTCGCCTTCACCGTGACCGTCACCGTGATGTCACAAGAAGGCGAATGGGACTCCTCCCCGGTGCTCGCAAATCTCTGCTCCCGGGGTGCGCCAGATTTGGAGGAGCCGCGGAGCACAAAATGGGTGAAATGGCAGGGCTCCGGAGCACGAGTGGCAAACTCCCGCTGAGCAGAGCCCGGGACCCTCCCATTTTCGCTCCGGAGGTATCCCTTCGACTGTCTGAGCATGAGCTCGCTCGCGCGAGCAGGAAGGGTTACGGGATCAGGTTCGGCCGTAATTGCAAATCTCATTTCTCGAGCGGATTTTGTAATCTGCTATAGTCGAGAGCGGAGGGGGATGTACTGACTGTATCTGAGGATCCGCTGATCTTACCAGGGCGTTGTCTTTGGGCTCGCCGTAAACGTGCATTTCGTATTTTCGCGAGCCAAGGATCCGATCCTACCTTGAAAAACGTCTTTGAGCTCGAGTGCGTAGTTTGGATTCACAAAGACAGCACAAAGAAAATCGAAAATGAAACGCATAGAGTCAAGATCCAAGGTGGATTTTTGAGTACTGTTACGTGTACATGCTTTATCCTGTTGAACAACAAGAAAAAATCTCAAACTTACTGCACGTTTGTGAATCCTCTTCACTTGCAGGTAATGGACCGCCAGATCTCCCTTTGCGACGCACATGACGTATCCGAGACTTTGCAAAACAAGCTCGAGCAGTTGTCTTTTGTGGAGCGAGCATTTGTGCACTGCGACTACCAGTTTGATGGAGATGAGCATGTCTGAACGCAAGACAACATTATCCCACATAGCCTGCAACGAATCTATAAATTATAGTGGAGGACGTCTCGTCTTACGACAAACCTAGAAAGAAGATCACTTTCTGATCTGGTGGAACACTTGTGATTCTCTTTTGGCAGGAAGGCGAGCGTCTTTGAATGAGATTTTTTGAACTACCATAAAGTGAGGTTGTTGAACTCATAAATTCAACTAAATTCAGAACTGTAATCTGTGAGCTCAAATGAGGCCATGATTACTGCCAAGGTGTTTTATCCGAATTATTACGTTTAGTCTGATAAACTTATGCTAATCATCACTTCTTTCAAGCGCCGGAAAGACCTCAACACTTGTTTCTACCTTAGCCAAACCCTTGAATGCGAAAGCAGATGATTTAAAATTAGCGTTTCATGTTCTTCAATACAGGTATACATTCCATATGGATCCACTTCGACCACGTACCCTTCCCTTGTGAAAGGAGCCAGTAGGGAAGAGGATTAACAGGCTGTAAAAAAAGATGACGTCGCAAACAATATCAACGCACTTTACTTCGAAAACGGCTATATTTGTTTGATAGAAGTCTAACATTTAGAAGAACTATGGAGTTGGTACTATATATATGGCAGAGTTTGCATTTGCTTACTCTTGTCTAAACCTAAATCAAAATTGCATGATAAAAAGACCTGTTTCTAAGGAGATGTCATCTCTTTATCTCTTTTCTTCTAGCAAGCGAACTATCGCGACCACAAGCAAGTAGGTTTTAAAGACGTTTGCTTAATCGGGATGTAGGACATTCATAAAATTGTGGCGATCGATTTGATTGCGGTTGCGCCCACAAGAGTACAAAACCCAGTATCTACTGCTATCATACGTGTGCAAAAAACCATTCGAATAGAAAGGTAACAAAATAAAAGAGAGGGATTATAATATGTGACGAGAGTTAGGGATGGAGATCAAAAAAGCGGTTGCAGGATTTGCGTGCGCGGTCGCGCTATCATCACCAGGGTCAAGCAAGGGGTGAGGCATGTGGCAAACGATCGCTGGTTACGACCCCCCCCCCCCGCCCTCCTGATTGCTGTCTTAGGGCCGTATGCACTAACATCCCTGCGGCGAGGGGAGCGGCATCCCCCATTATGAAGGGGTCGCGTGCGGACGCCGCTACGACTTTTACATCATTGGGAACGTCGCTCCCCTCGCCGCAGGGATGTTAGTGCATTCGGGCCTTAGTAAGACCCCCCCCCCCCTGAACTACACACTTAAGATAGTATTACTTGAAGGCCCTGTCAAACATAATGGGCAACATATCCATAATTAGCATGTCAAATAACCCCTGTAAACAAAGTGTGAGCGAATTCTGAAGATTCAAGATACTAGGCTACCTAAGTGAAATGGTCAAATTCCAACATGGTTAACTTTGTTTCAAAGGTAAATTAGCTATCCGTTCTTGCAGTCAAGACAAATCACTACTCCTTCTTTGTCCACCTCAGAAATCCCGCTTCAAAAGACCTCCAAACTGTGGAATTAGAAGCCAACCAAAATCTCATTTTTCCCACTTTTCGCTTTTAATGGCTGTGCTTTCACCAAATATCACTCAGAGCAAAGAAAACGAATCAGGCTCAAATCGCTCCTGTGAAAACTGGGAGATCTAGGCTATCGATTCATATAAATAATGTTCGCTAAAAATGTTTTTTTGATATAGTTATTAGGGTGCGGCACACCCCCTTAAAAGCTGCGGCTGCCGCGGACAGTACTTATATGAATCGATAGCCTAAACTTGTAGATTCCACAGGACTGTTTGTAGCCTGATTCGTCTTCTTAGCTCTGAGTGATATTTGGTGAAAGCACAGCCATTAAAAGCGAAAAATGGGAAAAATGAGATTTTGGTTGGTTTCTAATTCCACAGTTTGGAGGTCTTTTGAAGCGGGATTTCTGAGGTGGACAAAGGAGGAGTAGTGCTTTGTTTTGAGTGCAAAAACGGATAGCTAATTCACCTTTGAAACAAAGTTAACCATGTTGGAATTTGACCATTTCACTTAGGTAGCCTAGTATCTTGAATCTTCAGAATTCGCTCACACTTTGTCTACAGGGGTTATTTGACATGCTAATTATGGATAGGATACGAATATCATGTTGTCACATTATCAAATTACCCAACTACGACCCCCTCCCCTTTGACTCCTCAATACGACCCCCCAGGTGTGGCGTGCCGCACCCCACGCTTGACCCTGATCATCACCATAACGCCCTATAGCATACAGACCCTCTATGATTACGGACTAAAAGTAACATAGTGTATGAAATCTGTGATAACAGTATCCAGCTTTAATGGCTCGGACCAGGGCCTGGCACCTGCTGGCACGGGGCAAACTGGATATCGTTTTTGGGACAAAAACCAAAGGAGATATTTTTGTGGCTGAAAAGACAAAGATTGCGACGCTTTTAGTCAACGTTTCGTTTTTTGAGGATTTTTACGTTTAGGGTTTAGGGTCAGAGGGAACTTTGTAAAACTTAGGGAAAGTTAAGAGGGACATCGTTTCAAAAATCCTCTGGTGCCAGCTCGTGCCGAGCCCCGGCTCGGATCCTCGTGGTAGCTTTTAGTCTTGAGACGCGTTTGCAAACTTCCATGGCCCGGCACTAGCGGGTTTCTACGCTTTTCAAAAAAAGTCCTCTTAAATTCCGCACTTTTATGTCCTTATTCCCTTATTGAAAACCTGTAGACTCCCTTTGGGTTTTTACATGATTATCGTAGGAGACTGAACCTATAAATCAAGAATAGACGAGCACAACCGTGGAAATCGTTCGTCGTTATCGTTCAACAACATTTTCGAACGCGCTTCAAAATGATAAGAATGGAAAGTATATACAGAGAGATGATGTCGGTTATGCATGGGTAGCGAAGAAAACCGAAAAATAAACAAAAGGGAACCGGAATGCTCAAGAAGCACAAAATGGAGGACTGTATGTCGCCGAATTTGGGTAGGTCGCGCTGAGTAGCGCTGCTCCTGCCAGCGGATTGAGCCATTCCCTAATGATAAGCCTTGAGATGTTTAAACTGTATAATGCAACAAAGAAAAAATTGAAAAAGTGAATGAACTTTAGGGTAGAATCGAAGCTGAATTTGGGTGAGTCAAAGGCTGAATTCAAGCTTAAAGGTGTACAAGAGAAGTGGGACACGAAAATTAGCAGAGGGACGGAAATTTCCTCGTTTACTTTCCTAGAGAAATCGATTCCTCTTCTTTTATTTTCTTTTGGGTTCTGCTTTCAGACGTTTCTTCCACATATTCTATCTTTGATTCTTCCTCAAAATCCTATCTTCCACATTTTGTTCTCTTTATCTAAGGCAAATATGGAGAACGGCTCAATCCGCTGAGTAACGCTAACTCCCGTGAGGCTGCAATTAGGAGCGACGCAAGCAGAGGGCCTCAGGGTATACTGCGGGATAGTGCGGCGTAGCTTTACTCCATAACGCCAAACCGCCCGTATCTGTTGCAATTGACAGCGGGGCCGCCCCTTTTCGGCGACATATAGTCCCCTACCCGAAGCACAAGAGGCGATGGGGCGCGATATCTAAGAAAACCGTTTGCGAACAAATTGAAATTTAAAAAAATAAAAGAGAGACAACAGTACGAATCTGCCTTCGAGCTCAAAGACAGATTTTTAACCGGAAGATAGTACAGTTGGCACAGAATATTCGCATTTGAATAATTTCTTCGAAATATTCGACTATTCGAATATTTAAACAGTCGAATATTCGCGAAAGTGCAACTATTCGATTATTCGAGTAGTCGAATGAATAAAATAGATCTTTATTTAAATGATTCGTTCATTCGACGACTCGAAAAATAACCTTTTCGAATATATCGAATATTTGAGAAGTTTTATAAACCCTTGTTTGAGGTCTTCTTTTCAACTATTGCTTTTGAATATTCGACTATTGCATTGATTATTCGGATATTGCATTCGAATACTCGATGATATCCAGTTATTCGTTTAGTCGAACAGTGAATATTCGACCAAGTTCGGTTATTCGAATATGCGAGAGTTTGGATTTTGGAATGTGCCCATCTTCGATAATTCGAGTGATATGAAAGTCGAAAATCGATTAATATTCATTCGTTTGAAAAATTTTCGAAAATCAATTATTCGATAACTGAATAGTTTTCGTTAAATCTCGGCACGATAGTAAAAACAGGTTGTTCCGAGTCCGTTTTTTCAAACCACTATAAAATCATACACAATAATCAACTGATTGAGGACTGAGTTTCAACATGCATTCGATGCAGCTTTTCCTTCTCTTTCTTATGGATACATTTTCAAACCACATTCTTTTATGCTTTTTTTTTTGATAATTGCCTTCAAGTTTATCTGCTCAAAGTTAGGCTAATTTTTGAAAATTTCACATGGAAGTTTCGGGGAGAGTTAAATATGAATCAAACAGAGCTGTTCTCGGAATTCACGGTAATATTCTCGTTTCCTAATCTGCTGTTTTTAGCTTCAAAAAATTAATTCTTCGATCTTTATTTTTGGCAATGTCATGAAACAGCAACTGCAGCAAGTAAAAACTTCTGCAATTTCCGCAATTGAAACATGATTTGCATTGAACATTATCTCTGCAACATAACCAAGTTTGATTCGCTTCAAAAAAGCAGCTTTTTGGGTACTTTCGGTGCTTTTACATGGTTACCTTAATCGAAAAGCCGCGGGTCTTGTTAAATGAATAATTATAGCGGACTTGGTAGACGTGTCCATGTATTATATAATGGATTTAATGTAGCCAAAGGTTGTTCTACATAACAGTCACCAGCGCCCTTTGAAAACATTAGGATAAAAAATTTCAAAATTTAAGAAGAATTTGGTACTGCTGAACTAGTCAAAAAAGGTATGGCGATAACATTGCAAAGACAGGCTAGATCAGAGAGCAAATATAGCTGTAAGGAGGATAAAAATTTGAGTCAAATGGTACAAAGTCGGTCCATGGATTAGCGTTCTGTGAGTTTTAGTGAGTAATGAAAGAACGGACAAAACTTTCGGGACTAATATTTTGTTCTTTCTTCTCAAGCCATACACGAGATTGTTAATCGATTTATCTGTTGATCCACGGCTAACGTTTCGGCAGGTTCAGAGCCTGTAAGGGACATTACGATCCGCAGCCTATTCGAACTAGTAACTCTACACCTGAAAAGGCGAAATGCTAGACCTCGTTTTTGATCCTAGTTCAGCTGCACGGTCAAGCACATACTCTCTGAATTATGCTGGTACTCCTCTTTGGAAAAAAGTTGAGTTCACGTCGTCCACTGATAAAGGAAGTTGGACTCTTGTTAGACGTGTATGTAGACTGCTACTTATATACTACCAGATCAGAATAGGACAACAAACATGTGGCAACGGAGAAAAATGGGATAAAGTACTGTTTGCAAAACCCTTTTCACATCCACAATGGAGGGGGAGGTTTCTGGAATTTACACAAATCAAACCATACTAGATAAGAAATAAATGGCAGAGATCGCGACTGCAACCAAAGACTGGTTGCAAGTGAGGGAAAAACAGGAATATACATACTTAGTCCTACTCAAATAAGGAGATTGGAAGATACGCATGTTCTCGTACAATCAGATATCGACACTTTATTAGCTGAAATAACAGAAACTATTCTGTGCACAAAAGTAACACGATAATGCATACCGACATGACAATCTTTGACTAAGGCACATGACTAAAATATGGACATGATCAAAGCTATGATTAAGCTTGAGATGAGCAAGGGAGCAAAAACTTTCTCACCGCATGTAGTTCTTAAGACTGACTTGAAGCGACAAATAAGCATCTACAATGCTATGGTTTAAAACATCGGTTGATTTGAAGTAATAACCTTGAAAGCAGTCTCCAGCAAATCTGTGTACACGGGCTTTCATTTGGATTCTGATTGGGAAACCTTAACTAAGCCTTCCCAATCGACAATTTATACAGCTCATTTATAGCAGAAAAAACTTAGCAATAACTCAATCGTTACCGTACTCGGAAAGCCTTGGTACACAGACACTGCCTTCAAGGCGCTGGCAACCTGAGACGAAATTGTTGTTGGAATTATCGACATCTATTATATAGAAATTCAACTGCATGCAATCACAATACAGCAGTTCTTAACAATCACAAAAACTTTTTACTTAGACACATACAAACTCCTACCCAGAAGAAGTTATAAGTCGGAAATCGGCGCTTCAGCTCCCGAACGCCTCCAATGCATATGACATCGCTCGCACAGTAGATGTTTTCCAAGCGGATAACAGCATGCATCGCCGTCGTCAGTAAGTTTGAGACCGCATCCCTGAAGTTTATGAGCAGAATCGCTCAATGTAAGATGTGGCTAAAACAGGAACGAACCTCGCAAGAGTAACATTCGATGTGGTAATTGTTTTCAAGTGCGACTATCCTCACGGTTTCACCAGTATTCTAAAAAACGTGCCAAGTATAAACTCCATCAGTAAAGCTCTTGATCTTCTTGTTCAAATCTGTCTACATTCAGTGTACTGCACAGATGCGATGTGATTTTGATTCTATCTTCTCCTCACTAAGATCCGAAACAGCATGAATCGGGTTCCATTTCGCGACTCCCCCCCCCCCCCCCCCCCGACTGTAAATCCGCGCCATCAGGCTGTCCCTCAAGAAATATACGTCGAAACTTGAGAACTTTCTTATGTTTGAACGCTTATAACTCCTCCCAAATATTCGAATGGCAGATAAAAAACATTTATTCAAAATCAGCGTTCTAAGACGAATCCGATGATATACAGCTTGTTTGGATTGGCTGGGTTAAGTTCTGACAATTTCCTCGTAAGCAGGAAACGGTCAGAACTTAATCCGGTCATTCTAAACAAGCTATATATCATCGGAGCCTTGACCGCTGGTCTCAAATATCCGTTTGTTATCTGCCGGACGACTATGTGGAGGGAGTTACGCCCGTTTGAATGTGCGATTTGATAAGTATTCTGTAGCACATATTTCAGAAAGATGTTTCAACCGTGGTCTTTTGAGATGAGATGTATACCATTACACTCGTCTTGGAGAGCTGATTCCGAATCTGACTTCCTTTTTTGCTAATCGCTTCTCTAAAAAAGTTATGAAGGATTTTTGCGTCACGGCAGATACGGTCGGAATGCCAAAACCGCCGCTACGATATGGTGTAGTGGCTAGTGCGATAGCCTCACAAGTCAGTGCAGGTTTGGGTTCGACTCCTTTCATGTTTTTCAGTTTTGCATTACCTCAGTCAAGCTTGTTTTTGAATGTTAGGCATCCTCAACCGTATTTCTCTTGAGCGACCATGACGCGAAAATTCTTCATAACTTCTTTTAGAGAAACGATTAGCAGGAAAGGATGTCAGATTCGGAATCAGCGTTTTCAGACGAGTGTGAGGGTATACGTTTCATCCCAAAAGGTCACGAACACCTAATATCGTTCTCTTGTTAGGTTTATGGTAAATGTGCGTCTTGCTTGTAATTAGTACTCATAACCGATGTAATTATGCCCTTTCAAATTGCCTTGCAACGAATTGTATCCGTTGGAACTTGGATAATTTCACATATTCAAATGCTGTAACTTCTTCCAAATATCGTTCGGCATATAATAAAAAGATGAACGATCAGCGTTTGGCGAGTGCGACTATACATAGCTTGTTGGTTGGCTGGGTTAAGTTCTAACCACTTTCTCGCAAACGAGGAAATGCTGACCATTTCCTGCTAACGAGGAAATGACCAGAACTTAACCCAACCATTCCAGACAAGCTAACCTTTGATTCAACTGGCTTGGCACAGTTAGGGCGGGGTTTTCTGATCTAATTGAGGCCGCTCGCGCCCGCGACGCACCTGCGTCTCTTTCGCGCGAGTGCTCTCTGATCATTACCTAGCCTTAATTAGGTCACGAAGCCCCGCCTTTGCCGAAGCCAAGCCAGTTGAATCAAATGGTATATATTATCGAACTCGTCTTAAAACGCAGATTTCAAATGTGTGCATTATCTGCCGAACGAGTATCTGGAAGGAGTTAGCTCGGCGTCTAGATTCGAAAAATTACTCAAGTTCCAATGGATATAATTCGTTGCAAGGTAGCCTGAGGGCACATAATCAAGTGACTATGCAGAATACTTAACAAATCGCACATTCAAACGCTCGTAACTCCTTCCAGTTAGTCGCTCGGCAGAAAATAAACCTATATTTGAGATTCCGTTGATATATAGCTTGTTCGAAATGGCTGGATTTAACATTTCCTGTTAAGTACTCAGACACTGGAAGCGGGCGAGCCGCGGCCTTAAAAGGCCTTTTCGGCCCGCCCGCGGCCTTATTTTGGGGATGTAGCCAGATCGCGGCTGACCCGCGGCCCTAATTTGAAGGCGTGGTCTGAGTACGGCCGACCCGCGGCCCTTGTTCATTGCTGCGGCCGACCCGCGGCTCTTGCTTTGTTTACCTGACCAGCGATATGCAAATTAACAAGTTAGTCATGATCTCGTAATGATCATTGACGAAGGTAGTTTCCATTCAACAAGAGCATTGGTGCTCTTCGGTTCTTTCGCTTGGACATTCTTCATGGATTCTAATGCGCTTCCCACAGCACTGGTATATTAATGGTGAGTCCATGAATAGTATGCAGTGTAGCCAGAAGCCCAATTTAGGTTTAGGTTTCAGGTTTTGAAGGCGATTTGGAAACGTCTAGGTGCTTGCAAATTTTACAGAAGTCAAGAGAGATTTAGCGTACTGTCTTCTAATTTAGCTTCTACGAAAGCTTGGGAAACAAAGAAGAGGAAAGAAGGAAAGAGCTTTCGCAGATGAGACAAGAGCGAGCTCAATGGCGGCCACACTTTTATCAGGCCTTACAGAAAGCTCTGTACGTGGTGGAACGAAGTTATTTTTATTATGTAACTTTGACTTCAAGAACGGATGTCTGAGCGTTGAAATACGAAGAGAATGACAATACGTGGAGCCCGAGTAATGTGAGTTGGTACATAAACTTGGCTACTTCAGCGATTTCCAAATGTTCCAGAAACAGAAAAGGAAGACTGTGGCTGTGCCCGAGGAGGACATCGAAAGAACAAGTAATGTGGGTCCGTATGTATTATATTGGCTACTTCCACGTTATCCAAATGTTTCAGAGGCAGAAAAGAAAAGCTTTGGTCGAGGCTGCCGAAGACAACATCGAGATGATAGATGACGAAACATATTTGCGCCTTTGAGACAATGGGGAGTAGTACAGCGCAATAAGGATATCATCATTTTTTGTAGATTGTTTGATTCTCTGTTCATGATTGTGACTATTTTTTATGTATGTTTTGGACAGAGAAGATAAATGAGTTGTCATGAGTATGTGATTGTTCTGTTGTCTTCATGTGCTAAAAGAAGCAGCTAAAATTTCCATTTTTGGAAGTGCTAGAACGATTTAATAAGAGCCAATACAGCCGAGCCGCGGTCCTTTCCCGGCCGAGCCACGGCCTACTACGGGCGAGCCGCGGCTCATTTACGGCCGAGCCGACTGTCCATTCATGGCCGGCCCGCGGGAGCTGCGATTGCCCGGCCGGAACTGGGCCGCGGCTCGCCCGCTTCCAGTGTCTGAGTATGGAAGAAGAACAAATTCAAGGTGTTCAAACTAGGTGTGCGAAGCATTCTCGATTCGCGCTAGTCTCAATATAGATGATAGACGCACATAACGTGCGTAGTTACCTAGCACTGTGATAATAAATAACACACAACGTCTGTTCTATATTAAACGTTTGTTAGGACCTACAAAACATCTCTAGGTGGAGGAAATTCGATATTGACGTATTCCTAAGATGGGAATAGAAAAACAATGTACACTGCAAGTACAACGATCATTCAATCGCTTTATGCAACAACTATTGATGAAGCGTATCCTTGATACGGCGCATCGGAAGTCTAGGAATCACAGGAATTGGGAGAATTACAGGAATCACAAGAATAATGGCTGATCTCTCAAAGGCACCGTCCACCAAGATTTTTGCTAGTTCCATGTTTTGATCGTTCCAGAACCCTCTCATGTTCCTGATTTTGATTACGAAGTCGCGAATTCGTGAAAATCCCAACAATCCCCGTTCCGGAGAATTCGCAGGCCAGTTCTCCGGAACGGGATTGGATGGGCGCGCAAGGATGGGCGGGTATTACTAAAGGAGGCGGTAGCTCTCAAGGTTCTCACTGCTCTTCGCTACTCCGAAGCGATTTTCTTCCTTCTAAAGCGACATTTCGCGCCGCGACGTGGCATTGGCTTGAAGGGGGTCCTACTATGCTGCCAAAAGCTCAAGACTCCTAACCTAGGGACGGTGCTATTTAGGGTACGAGCCCCACGTTTGTGCCGGCTCCTGCTCGCAACGGCCAAATCTCGCAGGATAATACGCCCAAAGCTTGAAAATGCATCAGCGTTGGATTTATTTGTAGCTGTGAGCACTGAAACACTGAAAAGGTGCTGGTTCTGTTTAGATGAAATGTGTTCGACATTATACTCTCCAATTGGAGAACAAAAAATATAAGGATTCAAAGATGGTTAGCCCTCAATTAAGGCAAAAAAAAAATTAAGAAGAGTCATATCTGTTTTCCTACTCTTACAAGGGAAGCATGCTTGAACAAGTGGCCTATGGGATTCCTACCATATTTCTCGTTCTGCACAATTTATCTATTACGTCGTTCCAAAAGTATTCCGCTTTTTTTTCAAAAGAGCGTAACATCCCGCAGAACAAAGATTCATAGAAGCTTCTAGGCGCATTCGATGAAACTTTTCATCCTCTTTCAAATGCTTGTGTTCCCATTCCATTCCAGTTTAGCCAACGAGCTCTAAACGAAACCACCAAAAATTACGACTTGTGGTTTTTGCCGTGGTCAAGTCTCACTATTGCAAATTTTTATATCGACCCTCCTGATAGGTCAAGTAACCCATAGGTAGAGCAAACCCTACATGATACAAAGCAATCTTTTTCTCTTTTCCATAGCACATCATAATTTAATAGAATTTTTAGGAAGATCAACATTTTAGCAGGTCTGTATCAGACATAAACTCATCAAACACCAATAAATCTCTGGATCTCGAGGCTTTCAAAAAGAGATTATGGTTGCACTCTAATTTTACAAAACAAGTAAACGTTCGCCGGTTCGAAATACCAGATTTCAGACCTTCCGAGTACAGCCTGAAGTTAGTTCAACAACATATATTATGATAATTTTGTCCGCGGCTTAAGTATAAAAAACCAAATAAGCCTTTTAGAAACAGGACAAAAAGCGGCATTGAATGACATTCTAGTTGCTCGCCGATCGATGTAAGGTTTGAGTTGACCAGATATGGAGTTGCTCAAAAAAAGTTAGGATATTTTGAAAAGCATGCTATAGAAGGAGCTTCCCCCTCCCCCTTTCAGGCCATTCCTTCCATGTTTGGCCTAGCTTACAGAAGTCTGCTTCAGTGCACCAGTGTACCAAACAACTGTTTTCCTTGAAATGCTATCAAACTTCACTCATGTTTAAGTCCTTCGACAACAGGATCCGAAATATATTAACATATAGTAAACTGTCTCAATAACTGTGGTGAACATCCGAAGCAAGAGATCAAGCTGCAAGATAACCAACCTCGTCGGGTAAGATGGGCATCCTACAACGATAACATCTTGGCGCGAAACGCTCGTGATAGTCTGGCATACAATAAACCTGGGAAAGTTTTGCAAAGTTTACCAATTATGCATTATTTGACATTCAATCTTCCAGTGAACATAAAATTCGCAATTTACCTGGTTTTCTTTGTCGAGGGCGAACGGTACGCCGTCTAAGCAGATCCCACATCCAGCACAGCGAAAACATGCGGGGTGATAATTCCGATTCAGGGCCGATAAAACCTAGGAGAACACTTTTATGGTTCATCAATCGAGAGATTTCGCAGCAGTTTGAAGTCGTGTTTATCTTAGCAGTAGCTCTGTAAGTAATTCCAAATTCAAACTATAATCCTGGAAGAAAGCCGAGCATACGATAGAACCATACCGGACGGGCAAATGGACAGCTGTGAAATAAATTCACCTTTGCTACTTTCGGTCCTTCCTCTCTAAAGGCAGGAACCCTATTCACGCCCTCTTCAAGGTGTGAGCGGCCGCTTCGAGTGCTTGTTCTCCTAAGTTCTTCAAGATCCGGACGCCTGCTCGTGATGACATCCAACAACGATTTTCACGACTCGTGCAATCACACTACCGCGGGCGTACGTTTTGGAGCCTTTCCACCTTTACAGTACGTTGTAGTGCGTGAGAAATCTGCAGCTTGTTCCCTGTCCTAGAACCTCCTTACTATTTAAACATCTCTCATCACTTTTTCTCCTTAATTTTCATTTTAAGCATATATTCATCCTTTTTTTCCTTCGGTCCTACTCTCTGAATCCGTAAGTTCTACCTTGACAAGACTGGGAAAAATATAGGTTTCACACATTTCTTAGAAAACTTGGGAAACATTGAGGTTTCTTGATAATTACAGTAATGGCTACCATAGGTATGTTGAAAAGTGTTTCTTCTTCATTGCCTCAAACTGAGCTGCATACCATTTCTTTGGCAGACCAGTCAAATGTCTAAATACTCCTACATCAGGTGCATCAAATGTAGGACTGTTGATTCTGAGGGGAAGCATGACTCTTTGCCCCGATTTCGGAGCCATGGGTCTCAAAGTTAATTTCAAACAGTAATTTCTAAGTTTCATTTCTCCTTTCCTCCACCCGCAGCAGGATACTCAATGATCGAGTAAGCTTGAAACAAAAGGAAGAATCAATAAGTGCCTGAAATGAAAACTAAGGAGAAAAAAAGATGAGATGTTCAAACAGGTGCAAGCAGCAGATTCCCCGGCCGCTGCAGTACTGTAAAGCTGGACATGGTCCAAAAAAGCACGCCCGCCATGGTGTGATTGTACGGATCGTCGAAACCTCGTTCAATATAATGTCCATAAAGATCCCCAATTTGCGCTAGTGAGACAGACAGGAAAATGGTATGTAAAAATCGACAAATGAAAATCTAGTCCATGTCTCGTGTGGCTGCTAATTTTCCACGGTTATCTAGTGTACTAATAGCGTATTTGTAGATAGCGTGTTATCCTACCGCGAAAATAATCGCAGACAAACACTGCGCACAGTGTGGAAAATATGAAACTTGAAAGGCGCCGGATTCACGCCTCAGAATTTAAAGTGGTGCATCTACATGAAGCAAGTGCTAAAATGAGGACCTCTATGAGCAACGAGGCATTCGTTGTATTATGTGCCCCAGCGAGATTCGCATAGTACCACCGCTTGGGCGCCAGTTCGCTATTTTTCGCTCTTAGTTAACTTCAGCAAATCTGAGGCGCATAACTGGCTAACTAGCGAGTTGCATGTGCAGTTGATGATAGATACCCAAGCGAATCTCGTTGATGTACAAACGACATTGAATTTACTATAAGGCCCTGCGTGATCGCGAGAGTCGGGGTGTTTGCAACCATTGCACACGCAGGATGCCACAAGGTCTCAAATCAGTCTCATATGCAATCCCGTTTCCAAAATTGTTTCAGGTAACTGGGAGCTAAAATCTGATAGCAGAAAAGCTTTCGAAAGGGATAACTGATCTCAATGCGCTTGTAATGGTTACAAGCTTACCGACCCTCGCGATCACGCAAAGCCCTAAATATGGTTTGTAGATTTGATTGGTCAGCAAGTATGGTAAGCGCGATATGGTCAGCATACTGACCATACTTTCCGCGTCAAAAATGGCAACGAAACTAGAGAGATTCTGCGCAAATGTTGTTGATACCGTAGGGGTACTAACTAATCTAGCTGTCAAATCTACAAGACTATGAAGTCTGTTGTCAGACGGAGGCGTAAAAGAAATATTGAGTGGGCGCGAACGCGACGCGACGCGTACCTAACCTTTGATTCAATTGGCTTGGCGGCTGGAAGGCGGGGCTTCGTGAGCTAATTAAGGCTAGGTAATGATCAGAGAAGCACGCAAAGTTACGCTGTAGATCCTGCGCTTCCTGCGCTTCAAGCACTCTGCGACTGATGAAACCGCTTTTGCACCCAAAAGTTTTGCGCCTTCGTCTGGCAATAGACCACATACTCGTCCCTCGCTTTGCTCCAGGGCAACTTTGATGACAAAAGATTTTATTCACCATGTCCTGTATGGGCTCTTTGCACTGGAAACACCGCGTCACCTTTTTGTCCATGTTGTACAGATAGTCCTGCTTGCAATAAAAGCGGCCGTCATCCAAGTAAAATTGCTGTTCCCTTAATCATCAAGCTTCAAACCGCTTCATGTGATTCAAATGAAGGTTTACCTTAGTTCCTTTCCACAAACTTCGCAGGTGAAGCATGCCTTGTGATAGGTCGAGTCGTTGATCTTGTAGCGATCCTCGGTCTCATACATTGGACGCCGACAGTTTGCACACAACCCTGAATTGGGATCACGATTTTGCATGAAGAAAGTAGCAAGCTGCAAGACATCGCTGGTCCAGTGGCATGAAACACAGCAGATCTCTAACGATTTGCACTGTAAACCACTCTCATTCGCCAACTAATCGAACTTGACATGACGACGAATTGCTTGCATGATCTGATTAAATTTCAGCGTAAAAATAGAAGGAAATTCTATTGCCGAAAATGATATTGCATTCTAAATCATAAGCAGAGTCCAGTCTAGAGTCAGGCGCGCCCGACCGGGACCGTTAAAGGCAGCGGCTTGGCAGAATGACAAATTTGGGATATTCATCGTTCTCGTTCCTCCAACTCCAAGACTGCCTTCCAGCTTCGAAAGATATCGATAACCCGCTTTTCCAGCCGTAGAAAGTGCTATTTGGAAGGATCGCTTACGCCCGATGGCCCGATACGTAGAGCACGATTGGCTCGTGGGTACGGTAGGTACAGTGTCCCCCTCACGAGCCAATCGCGCTCTAGAGAGCAGGCATACGCGGTCCGCCCAAATAGCACGTTCACGTCTGGAAAAGCGTGCTATTGATACTTTTGAAGCTGCAAAGCACAGTCTTGGATTTAGCTTGTCCAGGGGAACCAAGAACGATGAATATTCCAAAGCATTCTGCCGAGCGGCTGCCTCTTTAAGGGATGGGTAGAGAAGTAGTATTGTGATTAGAGAAGACACCATTGTGAAGCATTCCAAACTACTCCAAAGTAAGAAGTTTCGACCAGTCTTAGGCCCGTATGCACGTACATCCCCGCAGGGAGGGGAGGGGATCTGAGAGGGGAAGCGTCAAATTTCGCTACTCTGTATTACCTTTCTCCTTCCTTCTTTATCTGTGATATGAAAGTTCTCATACCCTGATATCTACGCATAATGGATGCCAGGTTACTGGCATGATTAATTAGATCTTCACCAGTTTGAGTGATTTCCTGGGGATCCCCAGGGGATCACACAAAATTGTGAAAATCTAATCTTGTACGGCAATCCCTGCGGTGAAGGAAGCGCGTCCGTTATCAGCACTTGTTTTATTACTTTCTCTTTATATTAAATTCAAATATGTCAGTTTAGGTATGTGCGTTATGAACGCGCGCCGCTCAGCCGATTTGACTGAAGCTTTTTCGACCCCTGCGCAGATGATAGGCTACTTTTCGTAGCAGTCAATAATATAATTTAATTCTTCAAAAATTTATCATGTAGTGAACAGAGCGAGTCAAACTATTGCTTCTCCTCTTTTTTTGAGCCAAAATTAGTAAATCTACGCACTGATAGATATCGCGCTCCAATCACATGCGGCGTTCTTTGCAGTGTGTGCCGAAAATGCATCGCCAAATTGTTGGGGCTACAGATTTGGTTAATCTAGGAAATTTTCGACATATTGAGTAGAATGATACCACAATCAATAATAGAGCATGTAAGCAACTCAAAATATGTTTATTTGCTTTAAGCGTATTACCTCAAAATACGCTTTTTTTCGCTTTTTTACTGTTAGGTTGATTTAGTCACAAAGGGGACCTTGTAAAATTTCGCCAAGTCTTCCGGGACTTCGTCTTCAAAATTGCTTCAAACAACGCGTGCCTGGTCCCGCTGCAACCCCGCTCCCCCTTAGCACTTCTGTAATTCAAAAACACACAGATTTTGACGTAATGAGGATTTCAAGCACAGTCCCGACTCAGCGCATCCAGAAGGACAGGGAGTGATGAAGGTCGCAAGTTTTCCGAGCCTGCCTTCATTTGAAATTCGCCGCAGATTGTGTCACGAGCGACGGGGTGTGCGGATACGGATGTATGTACCCTAATAGCATTGTCATTAGCGACTCCTATCATGGTTTCCTCTTACTGAGCTAAATTTCAGAAATTTCTGTCCTGTCAGTTATTCATAACTAGCTGGCTTACCCGGCTCCGCCGTATGTTCCGAATAGAAAATTCCATTTCTTAACCGATCCGGAGCCTACGACATCCGCCGGGGCCCGAAATGTATGTGTGCCAAGTTTGGTCCGGATCGGTTCAGAAATAAAAATTTCTATTCGGAACATACGTACATACAGACATACAGACATACAGACATACATACAAACAGACATTCAGCTTTATATATAAGATGTGGCAGTGACTTGCACGCTTGGCGAGCGAGGCAAATCCAATGACACTCACCAACTTCCTGTTTGTCTACTACCAAGTCCCTTCGCATTTGTTCGCTGAGTCTCTCAAACTTTCGGTCTTGTGTCTCGAGAGTATTGCTGATTTCTTGCCATTTTAAGTGCCGCTTTTGGTCATCGTTAAGTGACCTAAACACTGCATCTTTAAAAAACTTGTCTGCTGTAAAGGTAAGAAACATCTAACGCTACAACATCGCTCGCAATTTGTGAATAAAGACCGTGGCGATGCCAAAGTGCTTCGAATTTTGCATCGCATCGCCATACCTTGCTTCAGAGGGAGAAATTCTGAATACAAGAGCTCCATTCAAAGCCCGACGCGCACCTCCTGTATATACAAGTGCCTGTTTGGGTATGGTACATTGGCGAAGGCCGCTTAACTCAGGCGGCCGCCACCGAAGTCAAGCGGCGGCCGCCGCAGTTAGGCGGCAAGCAACGCTCACGCGACAAAGTTAGGCGGCCGCCGCCTAACTTTGTCGCGTGACGCGGTGCTTGCCGCCTAACTGCGGTGGCCGCCGCCTGAGTTAAAGGCAGCGGCTCGGCAGAATAGACCTACCTTAGATTTTGACACAGATGGATAGGAGGCCCTCCAAGTGAAACCAAAGAGGGGTGGAGGACTATATGTCGCCGAAAAAGGGCGGTCCCCACGGTCATTTGCGACAAATACGCACCCTTGTACATGCGCGGACATGCGTTCCTGCAGAGAATCTGCGCGGGACTCTTCCAAATTCGGCGACATATAGTCCTCCACCCCCCAAAGAACAACTCCGGGCCGAAAATGTGAATTTTGCAAGCCAGGGGGCGGCCCAAGCGAAGCTCCCCTTCCTCCTTTCGCTCCCCTAACACCTTGTTCGGACGAGATTCTCCGCTAGACGGCGCGGGACCCCCCAACCGCTTTCCCGCATTGTGCATGCTATAAAAAGCCAAAATTACAGGCAGCAGGATCTTCGTGCCAGGGCCTCCCCGACTCTCCTTTGGAAATTCTCGTCCGAGCTGCCTTTTGGAAATTGAAAAAAAACGTCCCGAAAAAGGCTTTTTCACCCCTTTTAAAGCTCAGATTCGGGATCTACGGGTCGAGAAGGCCCAAAGTATGTAAAAAGATGGAAGTGCAAAATCTGCCGAGCCGCTTTGAGCCGCCAGTTTTTTTCACAAATTACGAGCGGTATTTGTAAGTACATGGAGTGCACTCAGATTTCACCACCTTTTCATATTTTTACTTACGATAGCTTAGCGTCGTCATTCAGTGCCCACTGCGCAAACTATCGTAAGTAATAAAAGACTCGTGAAAGTTGACTGCCTACGTGCATCTACCGTGACCGAGTAGGGGCGTCTACAAATCAAAAGATGCGCCTCCTCAAGTAACTCATGCCACGAAGCCAGATATGGCAAGGAAATCGACGACAACGGAAGTTATGGAAGCTTCGGCAATCGCTGAGGTTTTTCATTCACAAACGACGAGCAAATACTGTAGCTCAACACTGTACAGACAAACAAAAAGTGTATTCTCCGTTCGAATTTAAGAATTTCTGCAGTCAAATGAGAATTTCCTGAAGATGGACGCTGAAGTCCATCTTCAGGAAATTACGGCCATCTACGGCCAGTCCACTCGCTTGAGTTTGAATTTTTTCTATGACCGTGTGAATGGTTGCAAATATCATGACTTATAACAAGCTGCTAACCGTAGGTCTTTGAGTTGAGAAATATGACGAAATTGGAGTGAGGAATGATTTACGTTGTTTTAGTGCATGTGAGAGTCGCACAACAAGTAAGGTTCATTTTTGTGGTTACTTAGGGTCGTCTCTCCATTCAAGAGTGGTGGAGGCCAAGACCGTTACATAAGTTTACCTGATACTTTTCATGGCGGCCATTGCAAACTTTTGCGAAGCAGAGGTTAAGCACTGTCAAAATATACGTGCGTGCATTTGTACACTTCACATCCAACTTCATTCGCTTTTTGTTCATGACTTTTCGAATATTTAATGAAAATTCTAGGTGTCAACTTTATCGTCCCATTTTGTCACATGAAAAAGATATCTGCAAAATTGACCATCTGATTTCCCTTGGCTTACTCTTTTTGATAATACGAAAAATCATAGACTTTCAAATCACCAGAATTAATTTTCAGCCAATCTGACAGAATATTGAAGGCAGCGGCTCGGCAGAATGCAACTTCGGGATATTCATCGTTCTCGGTTCCCCTGGATGAGCCAAGTCCAAGACTGTGCTTTGCAGCTTCAAAGATATCAATACCCGCTTTTCCAGAAAAGTGCTATTTGGGCGGACCGCGTATGCCTGCTTTAGAGCTGATTGGCTCGTGAGTGGAGACACCTACCCACCGCAGACCTAGTTCATCTAGGGGAACCGATAACAATGAATATCCCAACGTTCTCATTCTGTCGAGTCGCTGCCCATTAAAGGCATCGTTTACCCTAAGTTAGAGTTCTTAAGCTTTTGGCGGCATACGATATAGGACTCCTTACCAAGGCAGTGCTCGAAACGCAGCGCGAATGTCGCTTCGGGAGCGAGGAAATCGCTCCGGAACAACGGAGAGAGCAGAAGACTTATAAGCGGCAGCGGCACCCCCCGCCCCCAGTAATGTCTGTCTATTCGTGCTCGCATATCCAACCACCGTTTGGAGAAACCGCCCCGAGGGCTCTCCAGAACGGGGATTGTTGGCGTTTTCGAGGATTCTCGACTTTATATTCGGAATCATGGACATGAGAAAGCCCCAGAACGACAAAAACATCAAAGTCGAGAATCTGATTGGTGCCCTCAAATAGTTTCTGAATTGTTTGAATTAGCTCTAGTTATGCTCGGACAAAAACAAGTTGTTCATGCAATCACACATGTGAGTCACATCCAAAGGCTCACCTGAATGTTGGTGGTTTGCCCGCAGGTAGCTTCTGGTCGGTGAGCCGCACCTGCTGTGTGAGTCCGACACCATAGCTTGCGATTGAAGCGCTGTTTACTTGCTGCTTTCTGCTGAGAATTTCCGCCAAGCTCAGCTCCGATTTCGGTTTCGGCGATGCCCTCTCGGCAAACTCTTTCCTAGTCATCGGTGAGAAGTGGTCTGCTCGAAGACTGCTCACGTTGACCCTAGTTGATGTATCAGCCTTCAGAGGGCTGTTTGATCTTTGTGAGTCTGGGGGCGAAACTTGAGAGCGACAAGCGGAAGAGTAGTCGGAAAATGATGATTGGCTTGGCGGAGTGGGCGATTTTTGACTGGACGCCGATGAATAGTCGGAATATTTACGCTCATGACTTGTAGCGACAATGAGCTCTTCGGGTAGAGACGGCAGCGAATTAGTGGCCGAATCACTGCGCTGAAATAAGCAGCGTTCAATGCGGAGCGGAGATGCACATTAGCCGTCAACTTACCGTACCACCATCATCCTCACTCTCGCTGTGAGCCTGGTAAACATTCGTCTTTGGAATGGTGCTAGCAATTTTTCTGGCATATTCCCGAGCACTTTCAGCTGTCTCTTGCTGATTATAGCAGCTGATGCGTGGGCGATTCACAGAGAGTACCTTCAAAAGAATAAATCATCAAGTGCACGAAGTCACAAACAGTACTCACATCATCTCGCCATTTCTGCACATCAGCATCTCGTATCTCACATCTATTGACATTCTTTTGATTTCCCAAACACAAATTCACCATTCCTTTCTCGGAAGGTGCCATTAACTCACCGCGGATTCGCTGTAAAGTTGAAATCATTGAGGCATTCTTCAGTAATCGCACACCTGCTCTAAATGAATTCAATTCGGTACAGTTCCAGCTACAAAAATTAGAGGTGATTTGAGATAATAAGAACCTATCCTACATGCAAGATTAGTGATCGATTCCCCGCATTCGAGGATCGCTTATCATCACAAGGCATGCAACACTTACAAAGGGGTGTATCCCATTACTTGTGACTGTCAGTTATGCAAGCGCCGCGCGCGACAGGCTGGCAGTAATCAGTTTAACACGTTGACGACCGCGCCATTTTGGGCGAAACTCTCACTAACGTCCTTAGCGCATTTGGCCCGTGCATACGCGCGGATGCACGAAAACATTATGTGGGAGTCTTTTTGTCACTTATTAGTAAAAATGCGAACTTTATTCAGACATACAGGTATATCACAGGGCCTTACCAGGACTTACACAAATCAATGTTTTTGCATCGATTTTCCCTCCAATAATCCATGTAATGGCTATATCTAAGGAATCGCTCTTCGAGAAAAGCGTTGTAAAACCAGATGTTTTTTGCCTGATACATCTTTGTGATTTCAAAACAGCTATACAGAGTTTTCACCTTCTCGAGAAAACGTAATTAGCATGTATTGATTACATCAAAAACGTACTGATTACCCAATTTTGCGTCCAAAACTTCTGAACAGCTGCCGCGATGCCCTGTGTTCTGTAAGACAATCAGGCCACTAATAGTATTACTGCATAGAAGTTACCTTAAAACTTTTCGTTTGCACCTAAAAAACTAGCGTGCATATGCGCGGATGCACGAAAATGCTAAACGGGAGTCAGGGCGTGCATACGTGCGGATACACAAGGTCGTCAACGTGTTAAAGGAGAGCTCGGGTGGCCAACTTGCAGGGCATACTATTCCATCTTTTGTGAAAGTTTTCACGCTATCATATCAAACTTTACTGTTTAATGGAAGTTTGGCCCCAAATCTTGTAAAAATGAAATAGATAGTGAATGGAATTGTGAAAATTACCACTTATCTGATGATAGAATATTTACTTCTTGTTTACAATACTGACGTTACCCCTAAGCGTTTCTTCTGAGACATTTTCTTTGGCCCTGCTGCCTCTCGCCCGAGTTACTGTAACGCCGCGTCGGGGCGATTTCTAATTGACACGCACAAGTGATGGGCGCCCCCCCCCCCCTTACAAGGGAATGGTCAGAAGTCGAAGTAGCCAAACCGAACAAGCTGTATATCATTCGATGTAGTATAAAACGCTGACTTCGAATCTGTCTTCCTTATCCGTTTATCGCTTCTGTGGACGAAGCTACAAGCGGTTTTGTTGTGAAAAAAATGATACATAAAAACAGCGAAATTGAGCACATTGTTGCACTTTTAGCTAAGCTTCTGCTTTTAAAAATTTTAAGTGAGCTAGCTGCATATTTTGGCCCAACTGAGGCGAATGTGGCTCTGTACGACTAAATTTTAAATTTTACGCATAATTTCTTAGCAAAATAATGGTCTTTAATGGCTTATAGCTTCATCTAAAAAAGCGATAAGCAGGTAAGGAAGACAGATTCAAAGTCAGCGTCTCATGCTGCATCTAATGGTATGCAGCTTGTTTGGATTGGCCACTTCGATTTCTGATCATTCCCTTGTTAGCACAAAAAGACCATTTTCCACAAACGCGGCTTTGAATGGCGAATTTGCTTCTCCCAGCCTGCTCATTGATTCAAAAAAACCATCAATTGCTTTTCGTGACAGTGAGTGACGACAAGAAAAGTCTCAGAGTATTCGAATGGGTCGCTTATGACCTCGACTTCCGGCTCCGACAAAGGCGAAAGCGCCAAAACGTTAGCCGTCAACAAAGAAACTCCTTGGAACACCGCTCACGGGAATATCCACAACTAACAACGATGCTAAGATTCAAAAACGATCGAACATAGGTAACTTCTACACTGTTCATTCGTCCATTAACTTCAGTCACTTCGGTGCGGACTTCTCGAATAGTGGCGTTACAGAGATGCGTTATCTCTGTTGAAATTTTTTGCGGAAAAAATCAAAGGAAAGGTCGAAACTAGCTACGCTAGAGGAAATATCTGGGGTCTGGTATTGCAAACAACGGCTTGAGCCATTTTACGCCTCTGAGGACGATGAAACTGACGAAACGTTAGGCCAACCTGGACAAATACACTTAAAAACCTGTACAGCAGTGCAAAAATGAAGAATGCAACTAATGCCCATGTAAGCAAAATGGATCATGGAAGTTATTATAAGCTACTTTTCAAGAAATTTGGAGCTGCGTTTAGAGTGCACGCGTTGCCATGTTGACCCTGTTTCGGAACGTCGATCGTTGAACGAGATGTGTGTGAGCTCCGACGCCGCGCTGACACGGCATTTGGAACACGACTGACACAAAGCCGGCGTTTATTTTCTTGACGCCGCGTTACTTTTGTCTCAAAAAGACATTTGTGCCGCGCATCAATGGAATTTTGGTATGCCTTTGTGCGCCCAGCCGATCATCTTCCGCACCATCTATGATCCGCAGTATTGTAGAAATAAAGCCAAACGGATACCTTCTGCTTGTCCAGATTTATCATGTTCAATTTCGAGGCGAGCTCTTTGGCCACCCCTCCACGTCCGTCATTTAGCTTTTGCGGCGGCGGCGGTCTTCCAAATGCATCTAACTGGGTCATGAAGGCTGTAGTGTTGAAATCCGACATTCTGCAAGATGGATACATATTTGAATGGTAACAGTTCACTGCAAGCGTCAAGATATTTCGAGAGCAAAGAAAAACAAGGAAAAGAATATTACATGGAGATGTCATGGTGCTGACTTTTCAACAACTATGAAAAACAATTCGGGGGTAGTTCGAATGACACATTTGATTTTGGATCCAGCAATATGTAAAATGAATAATCGGAAAGAATCGTCAAAGGAGGCAATGAATTGTAGAGAACATGACCTCAGCAAGTGAAGGCTGGCGAAAAGATTCCATTGCGGACATGCGTCGCTGTCAAAGCCAATTACTAAAGAAAGCGAAGCGACCTTCCTTTCGATGAACAGTCTACAGGGTGTGAATATAAGTATCGAGTTGTGGACATCGATCGTTGCAGTCGTTACGATTGTAAGACATTATTTTTATGTACACTCAATTATTGAAAAGAGTAACAGCATTCAAAAAGATGTGTCCGGTTTTGAAAAAGAACCCGCCAATATTTTCGTGCAAAAATGAAAAAAGTGAACATTCTCGTCTCATCGGTGTGTGGAGAACTCTCAAATTAGAGGAAATTTCTCCAGTGGACATATTCGTTGCTATTTTACCCATACCATATACCCTAACTTCGACAATACGTACACAGCGCAGGGTTTTCCTCTGTAACCAACTAGCAGGATGCGCCAAAGGATTCTGCGACCAAACAGTCTTACCGTGCTACATATTGCTTAAGAGAATCGTGCCGCATAAAATTCGTTTCCCGAAACACAGCGAAGAAACTGAGCAACTCGCTGAAATATGAAGAAGGAACTTGTGGGGGTACTATATTTGGACCCATTATATCTACCACTAGCTGACTAATCTGGCACCTGGTCTCGTCAATGATATTCTCGTAATCAGCATGCTTACTTACCCCCATGTGCCAACTCGCAGCCTCGTAGGTGAAACCTCACAAAAGATCGATAGAATCGATATCGATCGATGACGAAAAGTAGTCTTTGACACCCGCCCTGCCCCGAAGTGTATGTGTGCAAAGTTTGGTCCCCGTTCAGAGATAAGAATTTCTGATCGGATACGTACATATAGACATACAGACATACAAACAAACAACATTCAGCTTTATATATAGGGCTTATCAAAGGCAGTGTCGCTTGCATCAGCATCTACACCCCCGCACTAGACTCTACGACTCTTCCGCGAACATGCTCTCTAATGAAATGCAATCCATTGAGACCCCGCCTTTTCCACGCTTGCCCTGGGAAAGTGATCAGAGAGCATGTTCGCGGAAGAGATGCAGAGTTTAGCGCGGGAGTGGAGATGCTAATACAAGCGACACTGCGTTTGATAAGCCCTTACAGGAGTGCAAATTGAGCGCTTTTGAGCTTGAGAAAAGTGCTGTGTGGAGCAGAAATTTCCGGAACTGATTGGACATCAAGCAAGTAAAAGGGTGATTGAAAACAAATTTTATGGTGAATCAGTGTTCAAAAAAAAACAGAACCTCTTGCCTAAATGTTTCTTTTTGCTTAACAGCAATAATTAGTACGCACAAGTTGATGTAAGCAACTTACAGTTTTCCCACAATGTTTAGATAGTGGAAAAGCTAGCAGATGTACAACGTACTTATTGTTTTCTCCCACAATGCTTAGATAGCGAAAAAACTAGCTTTCTGAAAAGATAGTATATCATGTTTCAGAACTACCCACGATTTTCTTCCCTTCGATTTCTTTTATATTATTTTTGGTCTATTCATTTTCTACCAAATGAAACCCACAATGCGTACAACATATCTAAGAAACGTAAGCACCGAACAGATAAGAATATCACTCATTCAATACGGGAATAAAAGCGGCAGCATATTAAAAGAGGTTCGTTGATGTGAAATTGTTGAAGTATTTGCATTGTGAAGCTGAAGTCGCAATTTAAGCGTTCAATAGGCTCTTAATGCACTGCTGACGTCAGCACATAGGCTTTCAGTCCGATGTATCGAGAGCTCATGAGAGAAAAAGGCACAGAAGAGCAGAAGCCAAGAAACATCAGTGAACATAAGGAAATAAGAAACTCGTTTCTCAAGTGATTTTAGCTCATAAGGAGTGAGACAGAGGACGAGGAAGTGGGAGCCATGTTGCGATGTAAGAGGGGAAATTATCATTTTTTTTGAAAAGTATGAGACAAGGTCTTTGTCTGATTTCCAACTTTGGATGATGTATTGCATTGGATTCTCTAAATTCCTTCATTTTTCTATTGTTCTACAGGAAGCCATGTTTTCCTTACTGAAAAACATTGATTTATCGTTCAAAATCGAGTTAGATAGTATACCATACGTAAGCCAAAAAAATCGGGAAAAACAAGATAAGTGAATACATCAGAACCGGCCAGTTTCCGTGCTGGACTATTCCTATGCCTGCGACGCGCACGCGCAGCTTCATTGCTTAGTTTGTATTGCAACCCATGAGTTTACATGCTGGGTTGTCATAATCTTTTGATTTCGAGAGTATTCTAGCAATCCCCATTTTTTATTAAGGCTAGAGAGTCGTATAAGACGGCCTAGAGCACAAAGTTTGACCGAAACACGTACAGCTTTAATGATCTCAGCGTTATAGCTTGCTCAAACATACTCCTCAGATGCCTGTGTCTATAATTGCTGTTTTTTCTTCGCAACTGGAAATCGAAAAATGAAACCGAATAAAAATGGAAATATAACCTTCTTCGGGTTGTTTGCGTGTGTGTGATTTTGAATTTCTAGAGAAGTAGCCTTGTAGTACGCTGAAGATTGTTGAAAGTTTAGGTTAGTTCTACATGATAGCGACTGCTCATGTAAGCAAGTGTGCGCGGGCGTACGAGATTCGAAAAAAAAAAATGCTCAAAGGCTGCGTTCGCACCCATACTTCGCAAAAACCGATCGCCTTTGTCAGGGACCAGCATTTCTTATAAAATTTGTAATGTAAAATGACACAAGAGGGAACAGCAGCATCGCCACCTCAGACACGACTACTCGACTACTAAAGCATACAAAAGATCTATCAGGCCCATAGTGGAATATGGAACAGTTGTCTTTTATCTACACATGCGTAAATCGACTGACTTGGAGAAAGTACGTAACAGCTTCACGCGCAGCTCTTCAAGCTTTTCATCCGAAAATTTGGCTATAGATATGATCTTATACCAGATGGTAGGACTGGAAACATTGGATTAGGCTTTCTTCTCTTGCCTGAAGGCGTGAATTTAACCTTCAAACGGCACATGAGATTGCATATGGTTAATGCGGTCTGAATTTCCGTGCTTTTTCCCTACCAGGGAATCCAGCACAAAAAAGAGGAATGTAACTGGTTACGTCCAGATCAAGACACAAGCTTCGCATTCTCTTTTCACAATGCCATGGATAAGCTTTCAAAAAACACTACTTCCGGCAAGGTTGTCTTCGTACAAGACCGTTTCAAGGCACTATCTACATTCTCGGTGCGATGTTGTTACTTACAGGGGTTTACGAGCAATTAGGTACTCTATTTTCAAGTGTATAAGCCGCGGGGTGGTCCCAGCTTACATCGACCAGCCGGAACACATCAAAGGACCTCGCAGCAAAAGGACCCCATACTGTGCTGCGTATTGCCTGGAATGTGCGGCAGAAGGATCACTTCTTGAAACACAATGAAGCGGCTGAGGTCTCGTTTGAAAATTTGGAAAAGTGGGTACTTAATTTAATTTACTTAATTTGCTCTATTTTGTTGCATATTATTTGCTGATTTTTGTATTTTCGTTATCATAGGGCCATCCTATGCAAGAACTGAAATGAAATGAAAACGGAAGTCTAAAAACAATGGGTAAAAACGAGCACTCAGCATCGCTTTGGCAAGAAATCAAAGCCAAATTTCGTTTTTTTTAATTCATAGAAAAAAGCGCAAATGCAAATATATACCTGATTCATAGAGTACATGCCTGACCAGGATAGAACTCCGTAGTTTTTGGACAGAGATGCCAATTTCAGCGTACGTAATGGAGACCACCATTACTTACTCTAAAACTGTGAAGCTTGCTCTGCTCTCATGGACGATAACGTAAGGCTAATTAATTTCAAAAGTACATGATCTATTAGAGTGAAAGGTAACAAAAATGGGACACCCTTCAGAATAACTGCAACTTTCTCAAGAGAGAAAGAGATTGAACCTTCCAATTTTTATAAATAGATTAGAATATATTCTGTTTCAGGCAATATCTATGTAAGGCTCTTTACGCACCTTATAATTTTTAAACCTGCTAAAATTCAAACTTAGTCATTTCGACAAATAACAAATTTCGAGCAGTATCTGCGCAGTGAAACTGTGAGACCATCTAAGGTACCACTGCAGCAATATGTGATGGGACAGTCACCAAATCCACGATGGCTTGCTGGCTCAGCGCTCAAAGACAAGAGGTATGGCCATTAGTATCTTCGAGAACGAGGATATGTATTAACGGTCTTTTAAGTGTACGCATGTTTTTTTGGCTATCATCTGGCAGAACCTTTACGCTCTATCCACGCACATGCAGTTTACCCCGATCTCCATCTATCTTCGGAAAACATAGATTAAAGCATTTTGTTTTCACTGCGCCAAAAACCTGCGATTTTGCAAGTTTTTTGCTTGTTTGTTTGGAAATAAAAAGAAATTCAACATATTTGATAGAACATCTGAAAGAGCATGAAGAGCTCTTTCGAATAGGGTGTCACTTGCTTTATGAGTTCATGTTATAGCAGCGCAAGGTTGAGAGAGTTCAAAAAACCCTGTTCGAGTTCTTCACGGCGTAGGGTTTTGGGAGAGGAGCGTCAACGCGTTGCCAGAATTGAAGGCAAGGGACGCCTATGTAGCGATGTTTGAGTTGCAGCCTGCTTGCTGGATCGAAACAAAAAATCTCAGAAAGTGATAAAAATCAGGCTGTTTAGTTTTTTGCCGCTCTTTAATATTTTGTAATACGTTTATGAGAAAGCCAATAACGCCGAACTCCGAAACGGGCGGATTGCACCAGGTGAAAG